TTTTGTTGAGGGTTTTGCATATATAGCCATAAAATGTCTTAATATATAATTTTCTTTTCCTGTGATGTCTTTATTTGACTTTCCTTTCTCTTCTATAGTTTGGAGGAGTTTGAGAAAACTTAGTGTTAATCCTTCTTTAAATGTTTGTTAGAATTCACCAGTGAAGCCACTTGGCCCTGGATGTTTGTTAGTTTTTTTCTTTTTTTTTGTTTGCGGTACGCGGGCCTCTCACTGTTGTGGCCTCTTTCATTGCGAAGCACAGGCTCCAGACGTGTAGGCTCAGCGGCCATGGCTCACGGGCCCAGCCGCTCCGCGGCATGTGGGATCTTCCCGGACCGGAGCACGAACCCATGTCCCCTGCATTGGCAGGCGGATTCATAACCACTGTGCCACCAGGGAAGTCCCTCAGTTTAATTTTTGTAGTGTACCATTTTTTTATTCCTTTTGTGTATATTTTAAAGATATTTTGTTAGTGGTATCATGGGGATTATAATTAATATCTTAACATCCTAAAACAATCTGGTTTGGTTTCCCACCCCCCTCAGCTTTTTTGGTCCCCTGCCCCCAGCTTTATTGAAATATAATTGCCATATAACATCATGTAAATTTAAGGTGTACAATGGGATGATTTGATACATGTATATATGCAAAATGATGACCACCATAGGGTTAGTCAACACATCCATCACCTCACATAGTTACTATTTTGTGTGTATGTTTGTGTGGCGAGAACTTTTAAGATCTACTCTCTTAGCAATTGCCAAGTATACATTATTAACTATAGTCACCATGCTGTACATTAAATCCCCAGAATAGAGCCACTGAGTTTGAACTGTTACCAACTTAGCCACAGCAGCATACAAAAACTCTGCTCCTATACAGATATGTTCCCACCTTAATGAGGTTGCTGTCACAAATGTATCTTTATATGCTGTATGTTCAATAGTATAGGTTTGTGATTATTTTTATGCATTTGTCTTTTAAATGATATAGGAAATAAAAAGTGGGTTTATAAACCAAAAATACAATAATACTAGCTTTTACCCTAACCTATGTGGTTAATTTTACCAGAGTTCTTTAGTTCTTTTTTTTTTTGTGGTACGCAGGCCTCTCACTGTTTTGGCCTCTCCCGTGGCGGAGTACAGGCTCCAGACGCGCAGGCTCAGTGGCCATGGCTCACGGACCTAGCCGCTCCGTGGCATGTGGGATCTTCCCGGACCAGGGCACGAACTCGTGTCCCCTGCATCGGCAGGCGGACTCTCAACCACTGCGCCACCAGGGAAGCCCTCTTTAGTTCTTTGTATGGCTCTGAGTTCCTGTCTAATATCCTTTTTTTTTGGCGGTACACGGGCCTCTCACTGTTGCAGCCTCTCCCGTTGTGGAGCATAGGCTCCGGATGCGCAGGCTCAGTGGCCATGGCTCACGGGCCCAGCCGCTCCGCGGCATGTGGGATCCTCCCAGACCGGGGCACGAACCCATGTCCCCTGCATCGGTAGGCGGACTCTCAACCACTGCGCCACCAGGGAAGCCCTCCTTTTATCTTAATATGTAAGAACCCCTCTGGCACTTCTTCTTTTTTTTTTTTTTAATATTTATTTATTTGGCTGTATCAGGTCTTAGTTGCAGCACATGGGATCTTTCGTTGTGGCATGTGGGCTTCTCTCCAGTTGGGGTGTGCAGGCTCCAGAGCAAGTGGACTCAGTAGTTGCAGTGCGTGGGCTCTCTAGTTGTGGCGCGTGGGCTCCAGAGCATGTGGGCTTAGTTGTCCCGTGGCATGTGGGATCTTAGTTCCCCAACCAGGGATTGAACACATATCCTGTGCATTGGAAGGTGGATTCTTTTTTTAAAATTTATTTATTTATTTATTTACTTATTTATTTTTGGCTGTGTTGGGTCTTCGTTTCTGTCCGTGGGCTTTCTCTAGTTGCAGTGAGCAGGGGCTACTCTTCATTGCGGTGCACAGGCCTCTCTCGTTGCGGAGCACAAGCCCCAGACGCACAGGCTCAGTAGTTGTGGCTCACGGGCCTAGTTGCTCTGCGGCATGTGGGATCTTCCCAGACCAGGGCTCGAACCCGTGTCCCCTGCATTGGCAGGCAGATTCTCAACCACTGAGCCACCAGGGAAGCCCCGGAAGGTGGATTCTTAACCACTGGGCCACCAGCAAAGTCCCTCCCTCTGACACTTCCTACAGAGCAGGTCTATTGGTAATAAACACCCTCAGCTTTTGTTTATCTGAGAATATCTTAACTTTGCCTTCACTCTGAAAGGTAATTTTGCCAGATGTAGAATTCTTAGTTGGCAGTTTCATTCTCCCAGCAGTTTAAATATGTCATCCCACTACTTTCCAACCTCCAAGGGTTCTGATGAGAAACTGGCTGTTAATTTTATTGAGGATCCCTTACACAAGACGGGTTGCTTCTCTCTCGCTGTCTTCAAGATTCAGTCTTTCGACAATTTGATTATAATGAGTCTTGGTGTGGATCTCTTTGAATTTGTCCTAGTCAGAGTTCGCTGAGCTTTTTGGATGTGTAGGTTCATGTCTTTCATGACATTTAAGATGTTTTGGCCACTATTCAAATATTCTTTCTGCCCCTTTCTCTCTCTCCCTTCTTTCTTGGCCTCCCATATGTGTGTTGGTTCCTTTGATGGTATCCCACAAGTCTGTTAGGCTCTGTTCACTTTTCTCCAACCTTTTTTCTTCCTGTTCCTCAGACTGGATAACTTCAATTGTCTATCTTCAAGTTCACCGATTCTATTGCCTGCTCAAATCTGCTGTTGAAACCCTCCAGCAAACTCTTCATTTCAGTTATTATAATTCTCACATCTAGGACTTCATTTTTTCAAATTTTTGGCTGCACCACGTGGCATGTGGGAGACCAGGGATTGGACCCATGCCCCCTGCAGTGGAAGCGTGGAGTCTTAACCACTGGACCACCAGGGAAGTCCCAGCTCTAGGACTTACACTCTGTTTCTTTTTATAATAAATAAAATATAAATTGTATATTTACAATTATCTCTACTGATTTTCTCATTTTGTTCATACATAGTTTTTAGCTCTTTGCCCATGGTTTGTTTCAGATCTTTGAGTACCTTTAAGACAGCTGATTTAGTCTGTCAAGTATCTGTGCTTTTTCAGGGACACTTCTGCCAATTAATTTTTTTCCCTTGAATGGGCCAGCCATATTTTCCTGCTTATTTGTATTCTTTATGATTTTTTGTTAAAAACTGGACATTTGAATATTTACTGTGATAACTCTGTAAATCAGTCTCTCCTGCCTCCAGGGTTTGCTACTCTTAATTGTTGGAGGCTCCAGTCATCCGTTCTTTTAGTCACTTTCCAAACTACTTTTGCAAAGACTGCATCCCTTGTCATGTGTGGTCACCAAGGTCTCTGTTTCTTTAGCTTGTGTACAGCTACTGTTTGAATGGAGAGTTCCTTGAACACTAACAGTAAAATAAAAATAATACACCTCTCCCAGCCTTTGTGGGTTGGCTCTCCTGGGACACTAACACTATTACTCTGCTGTGGCTTCCTGCTTTCATTAATTTTGGAGATCAGCTACAGGTTATGCTACAATCTTCATAGACCTTTTCTTTCTTTCTTTTTTTTTGTTTTTCATAGGTCTTTTCTTAGCATATATCCTATCCTGGGCAGGTACGTGGCTTTCTAAATTCCCTGATATACAAGGGTGCTTTTGAATGCCCTCATTTCTCCAACTTTCCCTCCTAGGCTTTAGGAGGTCAACTGTACTGTTAACTGATGTCCCAAGTGGCTGTGGGATTTTAGTTCACCTTTCAGTGTTTTTGAGCCCACCACTTTTCTGCTGAGTAAGTTCTGAGTTAGGCAACACAGGGACAAACACTTTGCATTCTTTATCCAACCTCACACAGGTGAGAACAAAGAAAATAATTTCTGAATAAGTTCTGCTCTGCTCCTTCTGGAACCAGGGACCAGGTCCCACACTGGGAACACAGGCTGCTCACTTTCAATATGCTGCTGAACCAGGGAGTGTTTGTAAAGCTTTCCATGTTAAGTTGCCTTTTTCTTGACTCAGCATTTGTTTGGTTGTGTAAACCTGTTTTCTAGATTTCTGACAAAGTTGGTCCTGATGGCTTCTACCTGTTTTTTTTTTTAAATAATTTACATGGAGAAAGGGGTGTTTGGAGCTGCCTACTCCACCATTTTGCTCTATAGCAAAATGGTTTTTAAAACATGAGCTACCATCAATCTGTTTTTTTCCTGGAGCAAGAATCCTGGCCTAACTCACCATTCTCTGCCTTGTATACCCCTGGCCATCTGGCAGCAGGCTTTGTCCCTCAGGGCCACTTCTTTGGCTCCGTCATGTTTTTCATCCTCTATCCATCTCCTCCCTCCAACACACCTAGGACTGCCTTGTGCCATCTCTGCCCTTAGCCCAACCTTCCCTGGCCACACAGGGTCTGAACAGGGTACTCTGCCCAGATGTCCTGAGTATGACAAACGGTTCCACGTAGTTAAGAGTGTCTTCTTGTATAACAGCCACCATCAGATCCCAGTAAGGAAAGCTAACAGTGAGTAACCATCCTGATCACTGCTGAGAGGTCCACAGAAGAGGTGAGTTAGTGAGTGGTGTGCAGGAAGGACTCTCTGGTATCTGACGGGGATGGGAGCAGCTGGGCAGTGTGAATGGAACAGGGCCAAGGCTTGGATTAGGGCAGAGACCTGAGGGCACGGACTACCACCAGCCTGGTGAGTAAGTTAGGCAGGGCTCAGCTGGTGACCATCATGTCACACCCCTCTATGTCAGGTGAGGAAAGCAGTGTCCCACTCAGGGCACCAGGGCAGCCAGGTGCCAGGCCAATTTCCTCTCTTGGCCCCTTGACCTCCAGCCTTGGCCCCTCAAGTCCACAAGGCACTCTGCCCCTAATGGTGACACACAGACCTCCTGAGGTAAGTGCAGGGTGATGTAGACAAAGTCTCCTCAGAACAAGGGCATCAGTGGGGAACTCACACCCAGTACCTGGCTGCTGATGGTGAGGGGGGGTGGCTTCTGGCTCAGCGTCACCACAGCAGAGGGGACCATGAAGTGCAGATCCAGGGTGGGTCACAGCGGGAGCATCACTCACACAGGCCTGTGTTCTGGGGGTCCAAGGAGATGGTCCAGGGACTGAGGGTTCCATTTCTGCCTCTTCAGGGCGTACTCTGAGGCTGGGCATGGCTGGGACCTGGAAACCAGCAAGGACACAGGTGAGTGTGCAGAGGGGATAACTCCAGGGGTTCACCCACCCACCAGGTAGGGGTCACTTCCTTCACCCCTGCAGCCTGAGACCTCTGGAAGGCCTGGTGATTGGTGCCACATTCCCTGATCTTGGAACCAAGGGAAGGGTGAGCCAGCCACGAGGACACAGACTCACAAGCCAGGGCCACAGGTGGGAAATGGTGAGATGCTGACCACAGAGCAAGGTGAGCACACAGTGCCTTGTTGGCACCACCTGGAAGGGCCCAAGCTTTCCCTGATAAGAGGAAAGCAGCTCCCATGGAGCCTGTGCCTGCTGTGGTGGGCTTGTTCCTGACACAATGCCCTGAAGGTGGACCACTGGACCCACTCACGGGGGAACAGCAACTCCAAAGGTTGGGCTGCCAGGGGTAGCCTGAGCTGCAGACATGCACAAAATCATCACAGTGCCACCCTATTGGTCAGCCCTGAGTTGTGTCCCCCTGGCAGCATCCAGAGTGGGTGTTCCCATCCCCAACCTCCTGGGCTGTCCTCCCACTGCACCAGTGGCTCCCTCCCAGACTCCTCATCTCCCTCTTCACGTTGGTGCTCCAGGGTTCACTTCTGTATCTACACCAACTTCCTTGGTTAATCTGTCCAGTCCTGAGGCATCAACATCATTTATCCCGTGAAGACTCTCAAACCTGGGCTCATCTCCAGGTTTAAGTGGTCTCTCTGAGCAAGGGACAGGACATTCCCACCCAGACACATGATGGGTTCCCCACATGGACCAAGTTACTGATTTCCTCCACCCCTCCCACTACCCTGTCTCTGAGCAAATGCACCATGCCCTGCCCAGCAGCCCATCTGGGAGTGGGGCAACATCCCTCCGCCCCTTATTCATATTGTACCATGAGCAGGTACCAGTGACCCGTCTGCCCTTCAGGGGTGGAGAAGATGAGGCAAAAGCCCATTGTAGACACTGCCTGCCAACCCTTGGACTGAATTTCTCCTCTTGGGACACACGCTTTCAGTGTTTCCAAAACACCCACTATATGCCAGCGTCTATTCCAGGGACAATGTGACCATCACCCTCATGGGTTTCAGTGGGGAGACAGATAATAGCAAATGCATCAGTGAGATGGGCAAGTGCTCTGGGCACAGGTAGCAAAGAAGGGGTGGAGCCTGGGGCAGGCGGGCATTTAACCAGGCCCAGAGAAGAGAGGGTTTAGGCCATGCCTGGCTGGAAAAGTAGAAGAAAGCAAGGGTGAGATGGGGCAGAGGTGTGAACAGAGCTCAGAGACAGTTGCTGGGGGACAGACTATAAGAGGTCTTGACTGCCTGGTGAAAGTGAGACATCAGCCACATTTCTACATTGGGAGACAGAACTAATGAAACATCTTAGGAAGATTCACCTGGCGTGGGCACTCAGAGGGATGGTGCATAAGATTCAAAGCAGGGAAAGCACTGACTCAAGGCACTCATCCATGTAGCAGCAGACAGAGAAGATGATGCTTCCAAGGGGCGAACCTTCACTTTCTTCCAACGGAAGAGTCAATCATTTGTAACATTTATTCAGTTCATTTTATTTTAAAATCTTCAAGTCATTATCACTGTTTCTGAATAGGGGCACAGTCATATGGCTCAAAATTCAAAAGGTTAAAGAGGACTTAAGGTGAAACATCTCCCAGCCAGCCACACTACTCCTTCCCAGTTTCCAATGTGTCCTTCCTGATTACTCTAAGCTTACACAAATACGTGTGTTTTTTCTTTGCCTTTTTATTATAAATTGTACCAAACTAAGCTCATTTTAAAATTTTTATTTATTTATTTATTTAGGGCTGAGTTGGATCTTTGTTGCTGCACGCGCCCTTTCTCTCGTTGCAGTGAGCGGGGGCAACTCTTTGTTGTGGTGTGTGGGATTCTCATTGCAGTGGCTTCTCTCGTTGCGGAGCATGGGCTCCAGGCGCCCAGGCTTCAGTAGTTGTGGCTCGCAGGCTCTAGAGCGCAGGCTCAGTAGTTGTGGCGCACGGGCTTAGTTGCTCCGCGGCATGTGGGATCTTCCCAGACCAGGGCTCGAAACTGTGTCCCCTGCATTGGCAGGCAGATCCTTAACCACTGCGCCACCAGGGAAGCCCCGAAAACTAAGCTCATTTTACATTTTGTTTTTCTCACTTCAGTATTTGTGGGATCTTGCCCAGGAGGACACAGACTGATCAGTGGTAGCAGACTGCTCCTCCTCACCCATGTCCACATCCTATCCCTAGAACCTACACTACACAGCGAAAGAGATTTTGCAGAGGAAATTAAGTTTACGGGCCTGGATTATCTTGGTGGACCCAACCTAATCACATGAGCCGTTGCTGACTCAGATGCACGGGTCATATGCAAGGAGTGGGGCCTCCAAGAGCTAAGAACAGTCAGCAAGGAAAAAGCAACCTCGGGAATTGGATTCCACCTGTGAGCTTGGAAGCTGATTCTCCTGGCTAAGGGCTCTACCTGGTGCTAAGCAAAGATACAACTGTGAAGACCAGCAGCCACTTGTCCATAGCAGGCGTCCACGGGATGGGCATGACCCAGCCTCAGTCCCACTCCCTTGGGGGAGAATAAATTCCTCCCCATCCCCAGAGCCCCTTCTCCACCTGGAGGGCGAATCCACCACCGACTGGGCCTCCAGGCAGGACACCTGGTGCCAAGCGACAACCCCATTCATTTCTCACCCGGCTCCGTACAGTTCCGACGTTCGCACCAATTCCTCCGCCCCAACCCCGCGCGTCAGAACACTATTCGCGCACACTTGCCCGTCGCACTGTAGCAGCCGCGCCACGCGGTCCCGCAGCCCGGCTCCAGGTCAGGGGTTGCTCGGCTCCGCCGCGCACCCTCTGCAGGGCGCCCCTCGCACGCCCTCCCGGGAGGGGCCCTCGAAGGCTGTGACCCGCCCACGCCCCTTTACGGACCCCCGCGCACCGAGCCTAGGCCTCCCGGGGCCCGCACCCACCGCGGCGGCATCGGAGTGACGAGGGAGCGCGGTCAGCAACGCCGAAACGCCACCACGGCAATCGCCGACTCCGGGAGTCGCTCCGGGAACAGAGCAAGGCCGCGGGGCCCAGGCCACTCGGCCCTTAGGCGGACCCCGGAAGTCCCGCTCCGACTTCCGCCTCGCGGACCCGCCCAGCCCAGCCCAGTGTGGCCGCTCTAGACCGCGGGAGGACGAGCGACTCGGTGGATCCATACTTGACCCGCGCGAGGTGCCAGGAGCCGCCGGGAGCCCCGCGATCAGAGTCGGTTCGTGCAACTAACCAGGGTGGCAACTACCTAAAAAAAGACAAGCGATTATAAATGCAGGGAGAACTAGGGACTTAGATACACAGGTACCTAGAATCGGAACAGGTTTTGCTTGATAAAAACATGATGATGCACGTGGAAGAAACTGAATCCCTCAATCAGTAAATGATTCGACAGATACATGGGAAAATCTCAAATTCCTTAAGTGGGACTGTCCATGAAACATTTACAAAAATTGATTATACAGTTAGACATAAAGAATACAAATATTTTAAAGTATGCATTTTAAACTACCAAAATTAGAATAGAAATACATAATAAAAAGTTGACTCCCAAAACTCTTTAACTATTGGAGTTTACGAAACGCTATCTACATAACCTTTGAATCAAAAATGATACTAGCTGGAAAATTGCAGACTATTTATAAAGCAATGAAAAGCAAAACACTTCATTCTCACACCTACGGAACCCAGTGTAAAGTGTAAAATATATAATATCCACTGAATATTTTCAGAGAAAAATATATATGACTATATCGCCTTAAATACTTTTTCTTTATTAAAGAAGACAAAAGCATTTATCCTTAAGAAGTTAGAAAAAGGAGCATTTCTCCGAACCAGCAATAACCAATCAGATAATGTAACAAAAATGAAATGTCTTGGGACTTCCCTGGCGGTCCAGTGGTTAAGACTCCATGCTCTCAATGCAGGGGGCCCGGCTTCGACCCCTGGTCAGGGAACTAGATTCCGCATGCCGCAACTAAAAAAAGGTCCCGAGTGCCGCAACTAAGACCCGGTGCAGCTAAATTAACAAATATTAAAAAAAAATGAAATATCTTCCACAATAGCAACAAAAACTATGAAATACTGGGGAATTAACAAAGAGCACTCAAGTTTGTACGGCAGGTTCCCCTATGCAGTGATCAGGGACCGGCGTTCCTTGGCTGAGGATTTTCCGCTTGCTGACTCGGAGGGGAAGAGCAGAACACATAATAGGGATAAGAAGCTGCTTCTCCCAGTCTTCCCACGTGGCCGCCTGCTGTAGCAGTATGCAGCCCTTGCCAAGAGTACTACCCAAGTCCCATCCCGTCCCTGATGCAGCTCAGGTGAGTCCCTCTGGACAAGGTGCAGCCTCTCCACCGGGTCGTATAACTAAAGGGCAAGTTGCCTGCCCCCTGACACCCAAGTTGCAGTGTGGAGAAAGAGGATGGGAAACACAGCAGTGTCCAAACTATGCTGGCTGGGTCCGAAGAAAAGTCTGATGTGGGGTTGTTGTGCACACTATGTAGATATTTTATTTTTTAATATTTATTTATTTATTAGAAAAAATCTTTTGGCCACGCTGTGGCATGTGGGATCTTATTCCCCAACCAGGGATCGACCCTGCGCCCCCTGCATTGGAATCGTGGAGTCTTAACCACTGGACTGCCAGGGAAGTCCCTGTAGATATAAATATATATATATTTATATATATATATATAACATATATATATAATATATATAAATACATATATAGAAATATATAAATATATATATTTCTATATATATATTTCTAAATAAATTTATTTATTTATTTTGTCTGCATTGGGTCTTCGTTGCTGCGCGTGGGCTTTCTCTAGTTGCGGCAAGTGGCGGGGGTTACTCTTCGTTGTGGTGCTTGGGCTTCTCATTGCGGTGGCTTCTCTTGTGGAACAAGGGCTCTAGGCACGCAGGCTTCAGTAGTTTGGGCACATGGGCTGAGTAGTTGGGGCTCGCGGGCTTTAGCGCACAGGCTCAGTAGTTGTGGTGCACGGGCTTAGTTGCTCTGCAGCATGTGGGATCTTCCCAGACAAGGGCTCGAACCCATGTCCCCTGCATTGGCAGGTGTATTCTTAACCACTGCACCACCAGGGAAGTCCCTGGTAGGTATTTTAAATGCAATGATTTCACACGTGTAAGTGACTTTAGCCCTCATCTCTGTGCAGGGTGTGCAGAGTCTCCTGTGGGCAACTCCACATGAGTGCTGGAGCCCCTCTCCCTGGCAGGGAGGAGCTCCAGGACAGCACCCGGTACCCAGACTCAACTCCAGGAGGAGCTCTATGGGCCCTGGGCCTCATCAGGTCTGACTTGGCCCTCCGGGGGCCTTCCTTGTCCATGACCCATCCTCTTGCCCACCTGCGGAGGGAGGTGATAGGCTGCCCTGGCTGGGACTGTCCAGATTTACAGGGGCCTCCTCATTGACAGTTGGAAGCCTGGGTCAGCTTCTTGTCTGCATACTTCCATTTAGTTCCACATGCAAAGGCCCCATCTAGTCACAGGTTAAAGCCCGAGGTCCCTTGTCTTTTATTTATTTCCCTCTATATGCTTGCCCTCCTCCTCTCTCTCTCCAGCTCAAGGTACCTTGAGACCACCTGCAATGCCAGGCCTGCTTACGAGACTTGGTCAGCACAAATCACAGGCCATAGGCAGAGGGAAACTCCCCTTGTCCATCTCTGCTCTCCTCCACCTGTGCCTCCATCTGCCTTCCTGCAGCCTGAGTCTCTCTAGGGGGGCTCTTTTGAAAGTGGCAAGAAGTAACCAACACTTGCCAACATTCCAAACAATTCTGAAACAATTTCTCTAGGGTTATAGTTTTAGTCACACATTGTCTACTCCTAATACATCATAAGCAAGGGTCATACCAAATACTTTTCCATGCATAACAAGGGTCACCAGTTTTCTACCTGTAACACCTCTGCCCTCACTGCCTGATCATTAAGCCAACTGCACATGTAGTAGGTTCTGTTTCAGCACCTACCTACTGCCAGGTATCAAGTACTGGATTAGTTAGAATAAAGCTCAGCTGATGTAAAGAGGCTCAAAACTAACATTGGCTTCAGTGAGACAGAGGGCTGTTTCTGTCTTCTGTGATAGACCACATGGCTGTGGTGGCTGTCCTCTTGAAGATGGAGGGGCACAGGCCCCTTCTACCTGAGGGCTCCACCCTGCCCAGAGCTCAATCACCATTTCAGCCAGTGGGAACAGGACAAGGTGACACCTTGAAGATGCACGTATCCCTTCTGCCTGTGACCCACATGCTACATCTCACAGCATTGCCACTTGGAAACATCACCTTTGCTTGGATGGGCAAGTGTCAGGTAAAATTTCATGTCTGAAAAGGACAGGGAGAATGCAAAGACAGTCAGGAAGAACCAGCAGGCTCTGCATGTCCACCACAGGGGAAAATAATACAGTCAACACAAAACCAGGCAGCAACATCAGAAAACTAAGGAGGAAAAAACTGATAGATGTCCAAGACAAAAACCCACCATAATGTGTCCATTGAAAAGCACGTTTGAATAGAATATGGTTGATCATAGAGCCTTTGACCAGGCCTCTGCCCAAACCCCATCTCCAGTGGGCCTCAGGTTCTGGTCAGGGGTGGGGTGTAGGCTGGTGGTTAGAAAGTCACCACCTCAGGACCACTGGCTGTCCCTCTCAGTGTCAGCACATCTACCTTTGTTTTTCTGTGACAGTTCAGATTGGCTGAAAAGTAGTGTTTTTCATCAACTTTGCAATAAAATCATTTAATTCTAAACTAATTCATGAGATGGTGGTGTTTTTACTGTAATACATAATAGACCACTAAGAAATGTATTGAGAAGAAGTTATTTAATAAATTTAGAAGAAAAAAAAGGGGGAAAAAACTGAAAATAAGAATGGGCCATAAAAACTATCCAAAATTGCTTTTCACAAGACAAACTATATAGTGAAGCCTGAAAATTTCTGTTAAATGGTTGATTGCTAAAAAACAAAACCAAAACATAAAACTAGATAAAAGCAAAAAATGAAGAAGAAATCAAAACTAGTTGTTATGGACTGAATATTTGTGTCCTCCCAACATACATTCATATGTTGAAGCCTAACTTCCCAAACTGATGGTATCTGGAGGATGGACCCCTGGGAGGTAATTAGGTTTAGATGAGGTCATGTGGGCGTGGCCATTGACAGAACTAGTGTCCTTATAAGACACAGAACTAGAGTCCTTATAAAACACTGCAAAAAAAAAAAAAGAAAAAGAAAAGAGGAGAGCTGTAGAGAGAGGTCCCGTCTTCTTGGAGAATACATAAGTAATCATGTATAGAATGTCGGTTGAAATATGGACAGTAGAGGCCATTCTGGTGAGGCCTCAAATGGAAAAGAGGAACATGCTATCGGAAATTTGAAGAAAGGTGACCATGGTTATAAAGCGGCAAAGAACTTGGCTGAATTGTGTTTGTGGGAAGTAGAACTTGAGCAATAAAACTGGATTTTTAGCTGAGGAGATTTTTTTTTTTGAGGAGATTAAAAAAAATATTTATTTGGCTGCACTGGGTCTTAGTTGCGGCACACGGGATCTTTAGTAGTGACATGTGGGCTCTTAGATGTGGCATGTGGGATCTAGTTCCCTGACCAGGGATCAAACCTGGGCCCCCTGCTTTGGGAGTGTGGAGTCTTAACCACTGGACCACCAGGGAAGTCTCTAGCTGAGATGATTCATAAGCAAAGTGTTGAAGGAGTGACTCTTAGAGTAAAATGTGAGAGGAGTGAAGTGAATTGAAGAGCCATTGTTAAGCAAAAAGGAACTAGAATGTAAAGATTTGGAAAATTCTCAGCCTGTCCATATTGCAAAAAATGAGAAAGTACGTTTGGAAGAGGACACCACGGATGTGGCTAGGTTATTACTCAGTAAAGAGATTATGGGATTATATGAGCAGCAACACTTCTGAGATCCCGCAGGACTGAACCATAGAGCTATTTAGCTATGATGTGCACTTTTCTGCAAGACATGGGAAGAATGGTCATAAAGGCGATTCAGGTATCATCAGGGTCACCTTCTCGGTTTCAAAGGGGGAGCCCATCACCATGGTTTCAACAGACCAAATAGTGGCCAACTGATGCCTTGGGGGGTGTTCTCTGGAGCCTTCTCTCTTTTTTTTTTTTGTGGTACGCGGGCCTCTCACTGTTGTGGCCTCTCCCGTTGCGGAGCACAGGCTCCGGACGCACAGGCCCAATGGCCATGGCTCACAGGTCCAGCCGCTCCGCGGCATGTGGGATCTTCCCGGACAGGGGCACGAACCCGTGTCCCCTGCATCGGCAGGCGGACTCTCAACCACTGCACCACCAGGGAAGCCCTCTGGAGCCTTCTTGATGCGACCCCGGGGGGGTCACTGCTCACTCCCCATGGCTCCATCCTGCGGAGGCCCCTCACTGCTTTAACACCGCAGAGTTTGCTCCCTCACTGTGCCAGCAGCAGCTCCACCGCTCCTCTCCAGGGCACCCCATTCTACACCTGGGGCCTCAAGTGTTCCCAGTGGCCAACACCGTGCTGTCTTCAAGCAGCCCCACATTTTGAGGACTAGACTCCCGCTCCCCAGCAGCCCTCCTGTACCCGCCCCAAAGCCTCACTGCAGGTGCATGCACTGTCTTTCTCAGACCTTGGGGCCCATGCTTCATGCCCTCGTGCGGACTCCCCTCAACTCACTGCCCTCCACGCCCTTCCTGCTGACCTTACCCAGCCTCACTGCTAGACTGGCCCTGGCTCTTTTGGTTCGGGATGTCACAGAAGACTGTCTGCACTTGCCGCCCACACGTGTGCACGCCTGAGACAGCCTGGCTCCGGCCCCTCTCCCACCTTCCCCAGGGCTTTACGGGCCAAGCATCTGGAGGTGTGAGAATGAACGCGTGGGTTGAATGGAAGCTCCGTGGGGCTCCCAGCTTCCACGTTGATTCTCTGCTGCTTCCTGGGTCTCAGGGCTGCCGTAGCCTGGTTCTCTAGTTTTTCTCACAATAAATGCCATGCAGAAGACTGGCAGGTCTGCTGCCTCAGGGAGGATCTGCTAGAGGTGGGTTCTGGGCAGCCTGCACTCCCTCCCACTGCCCTGTTCTCCCTTAGCTCCCGGGACCTAGGGGAGCTGTCAGTCCTTGGAGCCTGGGTGCACTAGATCAAAGCCTGTGATCCCAAACCCAGAAATCTGATCCCCTAACTTCTTCCCAAGGGTGTGCAGTTGGAAGTAAGAGGTGGGGAACGAGTGACTTGAGATTTCTCCATGGTTGGCCAGTGTTTGAAACACGCAGTGACCACTGGTCTACATGAAATGCTTAGGATATGGAAGCAAATAAAGACCAGTCCTCACCCTCAAGCAGGCCTGCAGTGTTGAGGGGGAAACAACTGTGCCCATCACAGGGCACGCAGCATGCAGGGCTTGGGGACCCGGGCCCTGCAGCTACTTGCTGTATTCTTCTAAGATGAGAGCTTCCTGAGGTGTTCCTTCAGCCGTAGTAGATGGAAAGGATACCTTACTTCTTCTGTTCCATGCCCAGCTATTCTACTCCCTTCCCCCCTCTATTTTTCTTCATAGAAAAACAGAATGTTGGAGCATTCACCACCGTCCATTTATCTGCTCACCATCTTTCTCCCATGCTAGAATGTATGCTCTATGAGGGCAGGGATTTTGTTTCATTCACGGCTCTGTCCCCAGCATCTAGAACCATACTCACAATAGGTACTAATTATATGTTTGCGATTACATGAACCCATGAATCAACAATACTAGTTCTCTGTTAAGGTAAGAGAGTGCTCTCTGGGAAAAAATGATGCCACAACGTTCCATGGGTTATCACACATAAATCTCTCTGTAATACGAGTTGCCCCACACCCCACCCCCTCTTCTTTTTTACAAATGAGAAAACAGGCCAGTGAGGTAGAGGTAGGATTATTACCCAGGCTGTCCCTCTCCAAAGGCGATATGCTCTTTCTACAGTTCTTGCTTCTCTGACAAGGGTGGCAGGGAAGAGAGCTGGCTTTGCTCTGCCCCTGCTGTGTTCTGAGCAGCACACTGGTTACTCTGTAAACTTGGTTCTACCTAACCCCCTAATACTCCTTCAGAGATTGGTATTTTTATCCCCATTTTGCCCACAAGCACAGTCTGAGAGTTTAGTTTGCTCAGAGTAATCCAGTATACCAGGGGGGAGCTGGACCCACCTCCTGTCCTGTCTAATCCAAATATTTCTATCATAACAGCCCTCGCTCCATGAGCCAGAGGACTCACGTGAGGATTCTGACATGGTCAGTGTGTGTACCCCTCCTATGTATTCTTGATCTGGGTAAATACCATGGGGTGATTTTTGGGTCCCTCCGATCCTACCATGAGATGGTCCTGAGCTAAAACTTCATTTGCCCGTTGACTCCCTAAGCTCCTACACTGGCTGCTGAACAAGATTTTGAATTAACATCAATTCAGAGCCAGAGTCCAGTAACCCCTGCCATAGCCCAATCAACCTCAGACCACTTATACTCTGACAAAGTCAGGGTTATAGATCCATTACAGTGAGGGCAACAAACACACGAACGACAAGTGTCTCACCAAAGAAAGGAAAACAGAGTTGTTACAGGACTTGGGAGGGGTGGAGTTTAGGTGAAATCTAAGTGGAGCAGTGTCTTGATAGGCAGGCAAGGCAGGGCTGAGTCATCGTGGGTCATCCTCAGGTCTGGACTGTGAAATGGACCTAAGCTCCTGTTTCCTTGGAAACCACAAAATTTAGATGTGGAACGTGGTGTCCAAAACTCATTATCTGATTCCAGCTGTAAATCAAGGCTGCTCCTCTGCGTCAGTGACTTAGATCCACCAAGAGTGGGGTGTTTCATTCTTGATGTCGTTTCCAACACTTGCTGATGTTACAGAATAAAGTTTCTCCACGAGCAAGAAAGCAGAGGCAGAATGTTGCATTTTGTAGCTGCACATCTCTTTGGGAGAAATATTGTTTCCTATTAACTCTGAAGCTGTTTTTTTTATCTGTGTCTGTTATTCTAGCCTGATGAACAGTTTACCAGATTTTTTCTTTCTGAGTCCGAGCTAATTTTTACTTTCACATCCTTGAAAAGTGTGGGTATTTCCTGTCTTCTAATGTACAGTTACCCCATCAAATGGCCACATTCCCTTTGGGGGAGAGAATAAAACATAGTATAAATTTTGGGAAGAGTATCAGGGTCTTTCCCCAAGGGAAAGCTTGCCTCTTCTTCTTTCATGAGGTTCAGGTGTCTTTTCACCAGATTTAATGTTTTTTTCACTAGTATTGATATAACCTTTAGTAGGCTGCCTACTTATTTCAGTCACCATCACCATTATCCAGGGCCAAAACATGTGGTCAAACAATTCTATTACTACTCTTGCCCTGGGCCTGTTACAGTGACATGACTGCCCTGTCTTTGAAAGGGTTACATGCTACTGTCTGCTATTTGACCACCCCCACTGAGCATGGAAACCATTTTCATGACAGCCCCTCTTACCATCATTCCCAGCCTATAGAAAATAGCCACTGTAGTCTTTCATGGATGCTGGCACGCCCATCACCAACGCATTTCTCAAAGCCTGGGTGAAAGAAGTGTCTCTAGACTCTCCTGGAGGACACAGGCAAGGGTGGGTGGGCAGGTCCCACAGCATCCACTCCAGCATTCCCATCGCCCGAGCCTCTGACTGTCCTGCACTGTGAATTCAGGCAGATCTGACATACCAGCCTCATCAATGCAGGCCACACCGCATACAGACTTCCATCAGCCAGTCGCTGCTGAGATAGCTCCCTGAATTAGCCATCTGCCATGTAACAAATTCAGTACATTCTCTCCTCTAGTCTAACAGCCCTAGAATCTATTCCCATTTACATTACCCAGGTTTCTGTTGATAGTAAACTGACAAAGTCTTGCCATTCTTTGCTATGAGGCATTCCCTCTCAGGTCACACTGCACTCATCCCCTGAGTACGCTGGGGTTCAGTTGCTAGAAGCAATCAAAATTGGAGTGTATTTAGGAAAACCCACATTCCACTGCAAGGTGACAGCTCAAGAATGTTGAGGCGGGTAGCTGAGGGTAATTCATTCTGATAAAGTTTTCCATTGTATGTATGAATAAAACCTTTTGTCTTTCCACCTACATTAGATTGTTAGCAGGTATTGCTATTACAAACACAGCTGCTATGAACATTTTGGGACACATCTCCTGGTTTTCACGCAAGTCTCTGCTGTGTGTATGTGTAGGAGTGGAATTGGGTTGTGGGCTATTTGCATCTTTATTAACAGTGCCGGAGTATTTTCCAGTGTGTTGTTCCAACTTCATTCCTATCAACAGTGTGTGAGAGTAACTGTTGCTCTACATTTTTTGCAACACTTGTCGTCATCAAACTTTTAATTTTTGCTAATCTGGTGAGTGTAATACGGCATCTCACAGTGATATCATTTTGCAGGCCCGCGATTACTAATGAGCTTTGCCCATCTTTTCATACAGGTCGGTTGTGGGAATACCTTGAGCAGTGGAGAAGCTTTAGCAGGTTTTGTAGCAGAGGCTGGTGGCGGAGGCAGGAAATCCTGGAGGCTGGACACAGGGGTGCTAGACCACGTGGTGCAGCCCCCATGCTAGGGACAGGGCATCTGCCAGCACTTCTGCCCACTGCTGAAGGAATGTCTCCAGGAGTCAGGCCTGGAACACAACTGCTGAACCCTAGCTCTTCTGTAGAGCTCACAGACTCAGGAGCAGCTGAGATGCCCCCCCACCCCAAGCCCACATTTTAGGGACTTGGAACCTCAGTCCAGATGCCCTTGTGTCAGCATCTTTGTGCACCATCCCAGACCTACCCCTGTCCCCCCACCCCCTGCACTCACTCTAACCCTCTGTCCAGACCAGGCCACACCTGGCACGATGCTCCAACACCTGGAGATGTGGCCAAGCCCAAAGCCGATGCTGCTAGGACTATCTGAGTCCCCAGAGCAGGTTGCTAAGGTCGGGGCAGGACTTGCCCAGGCCAATTCTGGTGCCTATTTCTCCCATAGAGCCTGGTGCTGGTTGGGGGCTCATAAGTTCTGCTAAGAGCAGTAGGTTCCTTTCCAGCCCCTTTCCCATTCACAAGGCCCTCCTGTCCTCCAGCTATCCCTTCCTAGGTCGCTACCTACATGGCCTTCTAATGCCCCCACGCCCTATTCAAGGATCTGCTCTTGTCCACTCAACAAATACAGTAGCCCCAGCAGCCATCCTGCCCCTCTGGACACAGCCAACTGGTCAGGTGTTGACATCCAACCCAGGTGGGCCAGAGTCCATTCCCCAAACTCTGCACCCATGGCCACATTCATTGGAGTCCCACAGGTTTATGGGTACGTGAATGGACACCAGACCAGAGACTGGACAGCATCCTCTCCTTAGAATATGAATTAAAATACTAAGTTCCCAGCCTTATTCTGGCAGGTCTCTTGGAAGAAGCAGATGTGAACCCAGTAACTGTGGTGGCAGCCAGTTTTTCAGCCCAGTGCACTATTAAACTGAGAAGGCAGGTCTGCAGGGAAACCAGGATACAATCCAGGGGTGGGAAATCCAGAAACCTTTCCAGTTCCTGACTGCAGCTGTTTCCTCACCTGGGGCCCCGTAAGACCCCCCTGGATCCTGACAGATGGTGCTCCCTTCTTTGCTCAGGTTATCTTAAGTAGGTGTCTGTTACTTACAACTAGGAGCCCTAGTGCCCACAACTAACCCCTCAAACTTCCATCCTGCAGTTTTCTTCTGGTCCCATCTTCAGATACACAGAAGATGCTGCACGTATGCAGTGTTAAAGTGAAAACATCCCAGTGCAGTCCCGCTGCCTGGAAACTCAGGTCCTCAGACTCAAGGCAGCAGCTTGAGTCACTTGCTACCCACTCTTGCATGAACATAAGCAATAATGGAATCCACCCGCTACCTTTCAACGCTTGTGAATAAACGCATGAAACTCAAGTAAAACCTAAATTAGTGGGGAAAGAAGAAATGTCAACTACACATGATAAACCCGTAGGATTGGCAGGGGAACACACAACACATTAACAGGCACTTATGGGCAGACCGTCATTTACAGCAGAAAGAGCAGATCTTGGTTCCCTTATGATTCACATCTTCAGTTGTGGTTCAAGAGCTAGTGGTGGAGGTCAAGGACATGGGTCATCCTCAGGAGTCCACCACACCAAGGCATCAGTGGAAATACCATAAGACAGGCAGACACAAGAACAGTGAAGGGCTCCTGTGACCCCTCAGCACCTGCCCCCACTGTCTGGGGCGTCCTTTCTCCTGACAGCAAAGGCCACCCAAAGTCTCTGGGAATTTTACCTAATAATCCCATGTTCTGGCAATAGGCAGACACCAGAACTAACAAAACAACTCTGGATTTACAAATATGACACTCCTGACACCCACACAGGGAGTAGGTCCTGGCTGGGCCCCATGACCCACACCCTCATAGTGACGGCTGTCTGCCAGGAAGGCTGAGTCCTTGGGCAGCTCCTGCCGCACAAGCTTGAAGGTAGGGGCCCTTCTCAACACCCCCACACCAACCCCACCTACTGCCAATGTCCGGCCCCCAAGTCCGGTTAGGCTACAAAAGTGTTTCATGGGGAGCAGATCATCCAAACTGCAACCAACTCTACTAGTTCAATGAGTAGTAAACAATGTCTTCCTCCAAGTATTAACTGCCCTGAGTTCCTTCCAGTCATAATCCCACACAGCCTGTGGCAAGAACTACCAATACATGGAGATCTAAGGCAGGAGACTTCACCTGCCTGCTGTGCAGCAGGTAGGTGAGAGAGAACACCTGTCACCTCACCAGAACAGCGGCTCCAGGGGGACCTGAAAATATCCTTATTCTTCCCCGTGTGAGGGTATTGAGCCCGACCAAATAGAGCAGCAGGAATAGGGGCATCTTCGGGATGAGTGCTAGACAGACGGTACGATGTCTGCTGACCAGAGCTCAACCTCCTGAATGTCAAAACTGTCCTGGCCACTGTCCATCTCCCTGTTTCTAGTACCTTTCAGGTGATGAAAGCCCGGGCCACAGGGGGGATTTTGGAAGGTTGTACATCTGCTGGCACTGTCACAAAACTCCTTTAGAAACAGCTTCTTCGCATCAACTGGGGAAACCGAAATGCCCTTCTCAACCGCAGGTAATTGGCTGGGTTTAAGACGCCAGGCGGCACCAGGTGGATGGGCGCCCTGTGCTCCTCACCATGCAGCACAGAGAGGCTTCGAACCGTCAGGAGACAGTCTGGCTCCAATCAATACTAATGCCATCGCCCAGCTAGGTAAGACTGGCTAACAGGGATATTTATGACTGAAATGGACAACATTAGCTATGTAAATAAAATTCAGTACATTTTGGGTAAAACATTTAACTGAAAACTAAGACATAATCCAAACTCACTGCAGGAATTACTCATAAAGACGTGTTAGCCACACAACCTAAAACAGAGAATTAGAATAAAAGCTGAGGTTCTCAATTAAGTAAACTGTCCACCATATGTAAAGATGAATGTATAAAGAAAAAAACCCCAAATATTTCCTCCCGATTTGGCATTCTAATTGTATGGCTGCAAGGAAGACACTGCCACAGCCTCCGAGTCCTTGTGTCTCTTGCAAGGACGCCAAGGAGATCCTTGGAGCAAGAACAGGGAACTTCTTTTCCTTCCTTCCAGAAGTCCTTTCTCTACAGCAGAAGGTGTAACTGGATAAAAAGCTCCAAGGCCCCATCTCAGACTGAAGCCAGGAGAGCCATGGGAGGAGCTTCGGACACAGCTCAGGAGATGAAGGTGTCCAGTCACCTCAGGAAAAGACAGACATGCCCTCTCTTTTTGGAACATGGCAATCGGGCAATGATTAGTAAAGTCACAAGCCAGAGGCTCCCAACTTTGGACCATCTTCCCATTTTCCTTCATTGATAACACATCTACAAGACCTATCCACCAAACCACATTAAGTGAAACATACAACTTCAATGGGCCAGAATTAGTCAGATGGGTCAGCCTCAGGACTGCAAGCTCCCTGCCTGGGGTGCTGGGGGTGCAGCGGGTGTGGGCCTGGGGCAGGTGCCCAGAGGGGGATCCACGACTGTGGGCGGCAGAGCCATGTGGTACCAGAGCCGCCCCCGAGCAGCCTCTCTGTGCCTCAGTCTCATTGTGAAACAGGGCTAATAAAAGTACCTACTTCACTGAGGTGATGTGAAGATTAAATGAGAAAACCCAGGAGAAGCATTCATCACAGTGCCTCGCACACACTAAGGTAAAAAGGTAAAGGTTTGTTGACTCAGTCAGAATTTTTGTCTAGCACATGATAACCATTATTATCACAGTGTATTAATTCCAGTTTTAAAAAATGTCAAAGCTATTTGTGGTGAAGTGTGCTTAGGAGAAGTATCATTAAGAGGCAGATTTTTCAATCAGCTCCTCAAAATTCTAAAACAAGTAAAGACCAATACTACTGCTATATAGACAAGAGCCTGGAAAATAAGGCCTGAGCCATAGGTCAAGTCAACATAAGGAAAAAAGGTCAGTTAACTTCTAAGAGAAAGTTTCTTTAATAAAGCAGGAAAATAGGAATAAACTTGTTATTGAAAAGGATACTATAAAAGAATAGAATGTCCAGCTATTAAGCAATTCACTGCTCCTCTTTCACTCCATTCTTACCCTGCCTTATTCATAAAGCGCCGTCCCACTGCAGCCCGTGCCAGATCCTGTTAGCCCCTTCTCAAGGGTTCACACATGGTACCAACTTCTCATCAGACTCTCAACAGCCACTTTCAATTGCCAGATTTGTTTCTAGAACTGTCTCTCACAGACTCCTTCTGCTGAATCTCTCATATTTATAACCCTTTTTCAGCCCATTTTGATGCTACTCTTTCCTCCACAAAAACAGAAGGAAGTGCCATAGAAACTTCTGGAGAATGGGGTTCTGAGGACACTGCAGCGAACCACACGTGATGAACCAGGGGCAGCCACTCTGAAGACTGTGCTCAGGAAATCAGCTCCCAGGATGTTTAGCATCACCTCAAGCATCAGGTGGGAGGACCATGGGCACTGAGACACCACTGACTAATACAGCTCCCAGGAGGGACAAAAGCATGTTTACAGCATGCAGACAGGGGTCCAAGGCTGACAAACAGCCTGCACGATAACCTACCCATGAAAAGGTGCTTAATGCCGTGTCCCTGCCTCACCTGGAATCCTGTCCTCTGGCAGCAGGAGGACCTGCCCTCCTCACCAGAGTCTGCTCGGTGCGAGGCCGCCCAGTGAAAGGGAACAGCTCCAACCACTCACCTTCTCTCCCTCAGAAGTGGATCTAGAATATACCAACAGAATCTGTAAGCTGTGTCCCAGGTCCCACGCGAGCCTGTGTCTACTTTATGCCTATTCCACCCCTCCAATTCATGGTTTTTTTTGTTTTCAAATTACCCTGTAGGAAACCCCAGTTTACATGAGTCACCTGACTTCCTAGCACCATCTCAACAGTTTGAATCTACACACAAGCCTCACCTCATTCCTTAACAAACTCTACTTATACTCATATGCCTTCTCACCTCTGTGGATTACCGGATGCTGAAAAGGGACAACCCCTTTGAAGTTAAAGGTATCATATCCCTCAAAATAGAACAAAAACATTTTGAAAAGGCCCTACAAACAAACAAATAAGAAAACCCCAACCCAATCACACTCGAAAGTTCAAGGATCTCAGTTACTTTTCCTGAAGCTGAAATAGATGATGAAGAGGAAAGAAAAGAAAGACAGGGGCCAAATGAAACACCTAACTGTACACTAAGGTCTGGTGCTATAAAAACATGATCTAGGAAAGTATATTTAAGTTGCATTCACTTAAAACACTCAAGCAGAGAGCCATCCTCTGGGTCTGAGGGAAGGCATGTTACCTTGGAACATTTACCACGTAATTCAGCAGCCTGCCTTCAGTGAGCAGCACATTGGGAGATAGTTTAATTCCTTAAGAGCTGAATTTCCAAAAGGAAAGTCATAAAGTGAGGTTTCTTATCAGTAGAACTCTCCTGCTGTAAAACTGTGAAGAATGTATCAGACAGAGTGAGTCACTCTCCACTATGAACCTTCCGGTGCTGCATGAATGCTGCCTGTGCGCCAAAGAGCTCCCCACACTCGTCACGCCGACAGGTTTGCTCTCCACCGTGGAGTCTGTGAACTTTCTCATGACTAATAAGAGATATTCTCTGGTTGTAAGTTTTCCCACATCTACTACACATGTAAGGTCGCTCTCCACTGTGGATTCTCTGATGTCGAATGAGGTGAGAGCTTTGTCGGAAGGATTTTTGACATTCAGTGCATTTATAGGGCTTCTCTCCAGTGTGAATTCTCTGGTGTTGGATAAGGGACAAGCGTGCACTGAATGATTTCTCACATTCACTGCATGTGTAGGGTTTCTCTCCAGTGTGAACCCTCTGATGCTGAATAAACTGTGAATGCTGGCTGAAGGCCTTGCCACACTCACTGCACTCATAAGGCTTCTCGCCGGTGTGAACCCTGAGATGCTGAATGAGGGAGGAGCGGACGTTGAAGGCCTTCCCACAGTCACTACACGTGTAAGGGCTCTCCCCAGTGTGAATTCTTCGATGGCGGATGAGGTGTGCGCTCTGGCTGAAAGCTTTCCCACAGTCGCCGCACTCATAGGGCTTCTCCCCATTGTGTGTCCTCTCATGCTTAATTAGGGTGGATATCTGTCCAAAGGTTTTCCCACACTTGCTACACTCATAGGGCTTCTCTCCAGTGTGACTCCTCTGGTGCTGGATTAGGTGTGAGCCCTGACTAAAGGCCTTCCCACAGCTGTGGCACTCGTAGGGCTTCTCTCCGTTGTGCACTCTCTGATGCTGGACAAGGGAGGAGAGAACACTGAAGGCTTTGTCACACTCGTTACATTCATAGGGCCTCTCGCCATTGTGTGTCCTTTGATGGTGAATGAGATTAAAACTCTGGCTGAAAGCTTTTCCACACTCATTACACTCATAGGGCTTCTCTCCAGTGTGAATTCGCTGATGCTGAGTAAGGTGTCCCTTTTGACTGAAGGTTTTCCCACACTCATTACACCCATAAGGTTTCTCTCCAGTGTGAATTCTCTGATGCTGGATGAGGGACAGGCGAGCACTGAAGGATTTCCCACACTCATTGCAAATATAAGGCTTCTCTCCAGTGTGAACCCTCTTATGTTGAATAACTTGTGAGTGCTGACTGAAGGATTTTCCACATTCATTACACCTATAGGGTTTCTCTCCAGTGTGGATTCTCTGATGAACAATAAGGGTTCGGTTCAGGCTAAAGAATTTTCCACATTCGTTACACTCATAGGGCTTTTCTCCTGTGTGAGTTTTCTGATGTTGAATGAGAGACAATCGTGCGCTGAAGGCTTTGCCGCACTCAGCACAGTCATGGGGTTTCTCTCCAGAATGGGTTCTCTTATGCTGAGTGAGGTGTGACTGTCTCCGGAAGGCTTTCCCACACTCCACACACATGTATGGCTTCTCTGCACTATGCACTCTCTGATGATGGATCAGTTTAGAGATATGACTAAAGGCTTTTCCACACTGACTGCACTCATGGGGCTTCACCTCAGTGTGAACTTGACAATGCTGAATGTAAGACGGACATGTGCTAAGAGCTTTCTCACATTCGTTAGCCTCACAGGGTCTTTCTCCAGTGTAAGTGTTACAGTGCTGCATGGCATAGGGACGGGCATGGGAAGCTCTGCCACCTTCCTCACACCCGCAGGGCTTCTCTCCACTGTGAATTCCCGGGTGCTGAATGAGAGCTCTGCTCTGACCAAAAGCTATTCCACACACAGCACACTTTTCAAAGGCTTTTTCTGGACTGTTAATCCTCTGGTTCTCACTGAAAACTGAACTCTGCCCAGGCACTTTCACAAACACATCTGCCTGACAGGCTTGTTCTCCTACACAGAAACTTTGGAGGTTAGTGAGGTCCTTACTCGTTTGGAAGTTTTCTACACATGACACACACTGGTGGAGACTTTTCCCTGAAGACAGTCTGCAGTTTCTGACAGAACTTGCATCTGCAGCGCAGTTTACCTCAGCTGCACTGAATTTCGGACCTCTTTCCCCCAAGGGGGTTTTCACATGTGTCACTGTCACTGGCCTGAAATTACTCTTCTGGGGGAAATCCTTCTTAAGTCCCTCCACTGCATATTTCCCCCAGCAATTATTTAGCTTTCCCTCAGTTTTAGTCATCTCTTCAAAATCAGATTCCTTGGAAATATTCCTTACAAGCTCTTCTAATTTTGTTCTCTGGGATTCCATTTCTTCAGAAATTTCCTGCTTTGGAGTCAATTCTTTTTTTTCCTTCCTAGAGACATAACCTGAAAAAAAAAAAAAAAGAAGAGTTACTCATGTTTTACTATGGGAAATACTTAGAGCATAAATAGAAACATTTATATGAAACAATTATCTCCTAGGAGGATTTGGATTTTCAGAATGCAAAACCAAAAATGACCTTACTGGGAAGAGAAAAGAGAAGGCGAGGAGAGAGAAGCATGCTCTCAGAGCAATGAAAGCTGGTGTGGGAAGGAAGGAGGGAAGAAAGGAGGGAGGGAAGAAACCCAAGGTGAAACGCCTCCATTTCAGATGGGCTAACCAGGCACAGATGGAGCAGGAACCTCGAGGTGTGACCTGAGGGAGAGGCGCCCTCAGAAGGTGAGGAGGGAGGACTTCCCTGGTGGTCCAGTGGTTAGGACTTCACCTTCCAATGCAGGGGGTGAGGGTTCCATCCCTGGTCAGGGAGCTCAGATCCCACATGCCTCAAACCAAAACATAAAACAGAAGCAATATTGTAACAACTTCAATAAAGACTTAAAAAAAAAAAGGTCCACATCAAAAAAAAAAAAAAAAAAAAAAAAAGAAGGCGAGGAGGGAGATGGGGAAGTCAGTGGTGGAGGCTTGGACGGTCAGCACCTACACTGATGTCACTGCTGCACACTCTGTAAAAAAGGCATCTTCCGTGGCTTATACATAACAGGCATTCAAACATTTGTTGAAAAGTAAATGTATCACAAATGATATATAATGAATGAAGGGTATACTGAGTAACACATAATGGGAAAAATTATTTGATGTGGACAACTTGGTTTCACAGAAGTAAATCATGGAAAACAGAGAAAAATAGAAACAAAGAAGCAACCTACCCATTCAAATAGCAGGTATAGCACAAGGCAAAAAAGCCAAATGTGTACAACAGTCCACACCACATGTTCCCAATGGATAAAAGTACCTGAAAATTTGTAAAAACTGTGACACAACTGAATTCTGAGACTCAGTGAAAGGAAATGTACCAAAAACAAAACCACCCAGCCAAAAGCACTGAATCATGTGGCTACAAAGACCAGTGGAAGGACAACCTGGTGAGAACTGTGAGAGGGTAGCCTCTCAGTTTTGAGAGACTGCGAAAGCACAATGGACTCTCTCTTTTGTAAACAGTGGTTATTATTAGAGCTGTCACTTTCAGACTGTTTAGCCAGAACTGAGAGACTGAGCTGAAAATATTAACTGGGTGGGATCTAACACTGGGCTAAGTTGTCTTTGCAGAACTACGCCCAGTACTTCAAAGGGACTGATTTTTACCATTCAAGTCTGAAAGGTAAAAAGCAAACAATACTTCATTCTAGAAACCTAGGAGCAGTCTGAAGGGGCAGGTTGCGGATGGTAAAGGTCCTGAATTCCTGTGGCTTCTGTCAGGAGTATCTGAGGAGTTAAGAGTCTTCAACATCCTGGAACCAGAGTCTAAAAAGATGATCCTTGTCAAGAGGTGCTATTTCACCAGGTAGGAAACAGAATGAAGAATGTGACAAAAAAAGAGACCACAGAACAGAGTGATCTATGAGTCAAGAAGCAACATCTCCGGGACCTCCTTGGTGGTGCAGTGGTTAAGAATCTGCCTGCCGGGGCTTCCCTGGTAGCACAGTGGTTGAGAATCTGCCTGTTAATGCAGGTGACACGGGTTCAAGCCCTGGTCTGGGAGGATCCCACATGCCACGGAACAACTAGGCCCATGAGCCACAACTACTGAGCCTGTGCGTCTGGAGCCTGTGCTCTGCAACAAGAAAGGCTGCAATAGTGAGAGGCCCGCACACCACGATGAAGAGTGGCCCCCGCTTGCCACAACTAGAGAAAGCCCTCGCACAGAAACGAAGACCCAACACAGCAAAAATAAATAAATAAATAAACTCCTACCACCACTTATAAAGAAAAAAAAAGAATCTGCCTGCCAAGGCAGGGGACACGGGTTCGAGCCCTGGTCCAGGAAGATCCCACATGCTGCGGAGCAACTAAGCCCGTGACCCACAACTACTGAGCCTGTGCTCTAGAGCTCGCGAGCCACAGCTACTGAGCCTGCGCACCACAACTACTGAAGCCCATGCGCCTAGAGCCCGTGCTCTGCAACAAAGAGAAGCCACTGCAGTGAGAAGCCCGCGCACCGCAACGAAGAGTAGCCACCGCTCGCCTCAATTAAAGAAAGCCTGCGTGCAGCAACGAGGACCCAAAGCAGCCAAAAAAAAAAAAAAGAAGCAACGGCTCACACCAGTTCATGCTGCTTCAGATGTCAGGGATCCTTGGTTGTCTGTTTGTATTTTAGTTTATTTTTAATTTACTTTTATTATTTTTTTAGTTCTTTTTTAAATTGAATTATAGTTGATGCCTGTTTGTATTTTAAATTGAGGCAATAAAAAGATACTTGGGAACTCTATGAATGAGGGTATTTATGAATCAGAAGGGCATTTGAATGAGATGGTGGCTATAAGTCCAGGGCACCCCCAAATGCCAAAATTTGCAAGTCTTTACCTAGGGCTATTTGGTTTTTTGAGGCAATTCCTTTGTTTTTGCCCTAGGTAGAAGATATTTTACTGCTGGGTGTTCTTTGTACAGGGTTAGAGGAAGGAGGTGGTATGATTAGTTGTCTTCTGTATTTAGAATTTTTAGCTGGTATCTCAGGATTCAGGTTTGACCTTTTTTTTTTTTTTTTTAAACCTTAAAGTTTCTATGAAGAAACTTTTACTCATGAATTGTCTAGTTATCCTGAAGGATAACCCATTTAGTAAAAGCAGAATCAATCCTTGACTGTTTTATTTACTGGTTTTCAGAATAATGAACCAGGTCCCTAACATTCCTCAAAGGGGAACAATGAGTAGGGAATTTTCCCCTGAGTATCAGACCAGCCCTAACAAAGCTTAAGACCAACCCCTTAACATGGGAAGGTGATCCAATGGCATTTTATCTGTCTGCCAGGAGACTTGATCCTCTTTCAAGAATGTAACATCATATAAAGCCTCTATAATTTTTAATCTATAATAACTGATACAATTGAATATCAGAAATCATGTTTTAAAAAAAAGACTAAACGACAAGAAACCAGGGGAAAAATATACAATTGAAACAAACCCACAGGCAATTCAGATATTATCAAGAACCAGCTTAAAACAAACAAACCATGATTAGTATATGTAAGAAAACAAAGAGATAGAGAATTCACTAGAAATCAAATGAAAACTGAAATTATGAGTTCAACAGACAAGACAGTACATTGGCAGATAGCAGGTAACAAAACAGAGGATTACGTAACTGAAAGGTGCGTTAAGTAATATCTGAAAAGTATTCAGATTGAAACACAGCAAGGAAAAAAATAGGACAGGGAATACAGAAAAGAGCATAAGAAGCAGGTGCAACAAGGTAGAAAGTGTAATGTGTATATTCTCAAAATCCCAGGAGGAGAGGAGAAAAGGAATAGAAGAAATAATTTAAGAAATTTTGGCCTAGGTTTTCCCACAACTGACAAAAGTCTATAAGCTATAGATTCAGAAAGCTCGAAGAACCCTAAGTAATGTCAATGCAAAGAAGACCACACATGGGTATAACATAACCAAACTGCTGAAAACCAAAAAAAGAAATGTTAAAAGCAGCAAGAGGAAAAAAAAGTATCACTTTCAAAGCAAAATAAAATCGCAGGCTGACTTTTCGACTTCAGAAGTGGAAGACGGCAGACAGAAGGACATTTTTAATGTACTGAAGAATACAACTGCCAACCTAGTATTCTACGTCCAGCAAAAATATTCTTCAAAATTGAAAGTCAGGAAATTCCACTTTGATGACAGTGTAATAAACTCCATGGATCCAAGTCACAGCAAAACAAAGCTGGCAAGAACTATTAAAACAAAACAAAAAACCCAACCCCAACTAACAACCATTTTAATGTCTCTGGAAATTGTCCTAAGAGCAAAAAGCAAATGAAAAAACGGTTTTTCAAGAAAATCTACTAAAACTTGGCAAGAGCAGCAAGAGCGTGTGGCATGTGAGCCCTAACCCGTTACACCTCCACCCGCCCAGCTCAGCATGACAGATGCTCTACTCCTCTTGGGTGGGGCCAAGAAGGGGCTCCCTCTCCCTGCAGCTCCCAGGGAAAGCTCCCCACATCTCACCAGGCTAGGCCACCAGCACCTATCATCCCCTCCAACTCCAACCTAAAGAGGTGAAATTCCTGGTGAGTGTGGTTGAGAGGGTGGGGGATCCCTTTCTGCATCCAGCCTCCTTGAGTCACAACAAACCTCCAAGACTGACTTTTAAAAATACTGCTGCCCAGATTTTACTGGATTGGACTGCTAGGGCATTTTCAAAAACAACAGAGCAATTTTCACTACTCTCATTACTTCGGAAATTCCGAGGGTTTTAGGAGCTCTGTGCCAGAAACGGGATGAGGACCAAATACATACTTCTTATTATAAATCACAATATCACAGATAGAAATGTATTGCACGTGACAAAAGCAGCACAAAGGAGGTGGGTAAGAGGAAAGATACACTGGAGTAAGGAAACGACAGCAGATGTAACTTAAATGCACAGGAACAAATGAAGAGAAATGGTGAATAAGAAAGTAGATGATATAACAAACTGTATACATATATGCTGGTCTCATTTCTTCTTTTAGTTTCCACGACAGACATAAAATTATATAAAGTACTATAAGAATGTATTGTTGAATTTGTAACACACACAGATATACAACAACGCACAAAAAGGGAGGACAGGGACTTCCCTGGTGATCCAGTGGTTAAGACTGGGGGCCCAGGTTCCCTGGGTCAGGGAACTAGATCCCGCATGCTGCAACCAAGACCTGGCACAGCCAAATAAATAAATAAATATTTAAAAACAACAACAACAACAAAAAACAAAAAGGAAGGAGAGGAAATGGCGTTCTATAGGAATAACTATTCTATAGTCACTGGAATTGCTAGTATAAACCAGAAGTAGATTCTGATAAGTTAAGATGTACACGGTAAGTTCCAGAGCAACCACTAAGAAAATAACAGTATTAGGTGTGGCCACATAACTGAATTCTCAGTAGTGGAATGTGAGTAGAAGCGACATGGGCAACTTCAAGGTCACAGACAAGGTCATAGACTCCACGGCAGTGAAATGGCCTCCTCCACTCTCTCCTTCTCCCATAACCCAGTGTTAAACCTGGAGGTGAGTGTTTAGGCATGCCGCTCAAGAGGGTGGCGGAGAAACAAGACAGACGAGCTGGCCTCCTAACAAGCATGTCAAACTGAGAATCCACCAAACAGGGACGCTGTTACACGAGGGAGACAAACTTCTATCTGGTCGGGCCAATGCATCTGGGGTCCATGAAATACCGTCACCTAATGCCGAGAATGAACGTTTCTGCAACGCAAGATTTGGGGTGATGTTTTATTCTTGTCACCACACTTCTCTACAGGGATTAGTTCTGTTGTTCTACTAAAATGACACATGTTCACTGCACAAAAATAAATTATTTTTAAATACACATTCCATAGCTTTCCACCCTCCTAGGATAAGAATCAAATCCAACACAGCCTGACGTGGTCCTGTCTACTCCTCCTTGGACACCTCTGTCTCGGTTGATGTTTCTCTTCCCCTGGACACTATGGGCTCAGACATCAGACCTCTCCTGGGAGATGAACCACTTCTTAGTCCAGGTAAGGAGGAAAGACAAGATTGAAAAAAGGGTCACCAGGGGACGATGTTTAACAGATTGTGTGCCCCACAGAGGGTGGTGCATTATATGTGGAGAAACTAAGAGGGACCCTAAAAGTAAGTTTAACCGGTTATGTTTTATCAGGGAAAATCCAGGTGAGAGAAACAAGAGGCCATGGTACCACCTGTTTATTTCCAGCACTTTGTTACCCCTAACTCCTTCCTGCCATCATGGGCCCATTCCCTTACATGCCCACTGTTCCCATGGTACGCACCCAAAAATCAATTCTGTTTTTATTTATAAGTAATAAACAACTGGAAATTGGAATTAAAAAAAATACCATGTACAAAAACATGAAAAATATGAAAGAGGGCTTCCCTGGTGGTGCAGTGGTTAAGAATCCGCCTGCCAATGCAGGGTACACGGGTTTGAGCCCTGGTCTGGGAAGATCCCACATGCCGCAGAGCAACAAAGCCCGTACGCCACAACTACTGAGCCTGCGCTCCAGATCTCGTGAGCCACAACTACTGAGCCCGTGTGCCACAACTGCTGAAGCCCGTACGCCTAAAGCCTGTGCTCCGCAACAAGAGAAGCCATCCCAGTGAGAAGCCCACACACCGCAACGAAGAGTAGACCCTGCTCATCACAACTAGAGAAAGCCCACACGTAGCAACAAAGACCCAATGCAGCCAAAAATAAATAAATAAAACAAATAAATTAAAAAAAAGAATATATATATATATATAAAACGGTACAGCAGAAATTAACACAACTTTGTAAATCAACTATACTTCAATAAAATAAATGTATAAAAAATATACGAAACACTTAGGAATAAATCTGACAAAAGACGTAAAATGCCTGTACACAGAAAAGTATAAAATACTACTGAGAAATTAAGACAAATAAATGGAGACATACATCTTGTTCATGGGTTAGAAAACAATATATGTCAATTTCCCTCAAACTGATCTATGGATTCAATGCAATCTTAACAAAAATGCTAGCAGGACTTTTTTCAGATAGCAATAAGCTGATTTTTCAATTCATATGAAAATACAAAGGATCTAGAATAGCCAAAACAACTCTGAAAATGAAGAACAAAATTGGAGGACAAATGCTACCTGATTCCAGACTTTTAATGAAGCATCCACAACAGTGTGGTGTCGGAGTATAAAGATCGACAATAGAACAACGGAAGAGAACAGAGAGCTCCAAATAACCTCACATATATATGGACAACTCTCTCTTTTTTTTTTTTTTGGTTGTGCTACACAGCTTGCAGGATCTCAGTTCCCCAACCAGGGATTGAACCCAGGCCACAGCAGTGAAAGTGCCAAATCCTAACCGCTAGACCATCAGGCAGCTCCCATGGACAACTGATTTTTTTGACAAAGGTAAAAAGGCAGTGCAGGTGGAGAATGGATAGTCTTTTCAACAAATGGTACTGGAACAACTGGACATTCACTTGTAAAAAATTAAACTTGGATCCATACCTCACACCAAAAATTAACTCAACATGAATCAAAACTTAAATGCAACACCCCAAAATTTTAAATTATAAAATTTTCTTTTCAAAGAAGAAAATCTTCTGGGTTAGGCAAAGATTTCTTAGATATGACACCAAAAGCACAATCCATGAAAGAACAAATTAACAAACTGGACTTCACCAAAATTTAAAACTTCTACTCTTCAAAAGACACTGTTAAGAGAATAAAAAAACAAGGCACAGAGTGAGAGAATAATCCATGCAAAGTATATATCTGATAAAGGACCTGTAAATAGAACATTCCTGTATTTAGAAAGGAACTCTTTTAAAATCAACAATAAGGAAAGAAAAACACAATTAAAAAATAGGCAAAGATCTGAGCAGACATTCACCAGTGAAGAAATCCAGAAGGAAAACAAGCACATGAAAAGATGCTCAACATCTTTAATCATTAAAAATAAGATACCACTACACACCCATCACAGTGGCTACAATTAAAAGACTGACCACACCAACTGTTGGCAAGGAAGTTGAGGAAATGGAACTCTCATCCTTGCTGGTGGGAATGTAAAATAGTACAACTGCTTTGGAAAGCACTTCGGCAGTTTCCTAAAAGTTTAAATAAACACCTGCCACGTAATGCAGCCATTTTATTCCTAGGTATTTCCAAGAGAAAAGGAAATGTATGGCCAAGCAAACAAAGGTTTGTACACAAGTGTTCATGGCAGCTTTATTTGTATTAACCACAAATTGGAAACAATCTAAATGTCCATTAACAGAGAATGGATAAACAAATTGTGGTATATCCATACAACAGAATACTTATCAGAAATAAAAAAGAACTGAATTATTGACACACAACATGAATGGATTACAAAATAATTATGTGAGTCAAGAAAAGCCAGGCAAAAAAAAAAAAAAATACATGCTCCATGATGTCAATTATGTAAAACTCTAGAAAATGTAATCTATAGTGACAGTAAGAAGATCAGTAATTGCTTCAGGATAGAGGTGGGAAGCGGTGAGAGGGAGGGATTACAAAGAGACATGAGAAAACTTTTGGGGGTAATGAATATGTTTGCTATCTCTACCATAGTGGACAGTTTCACAGGTGCATACATATGCAAAAATGTTAACAAATTGTACATTTAAAAATGTACAGCAGGAACTTCCTTGGTGGCGCAGTGGTTAAGAATCTGCTTGCCAATGCAGGGGACAGAGGTTCGATCCCTCGTCCAGGAAGATCCCATGCTGTGGAGCAACTGAGCCCGCGTGCCACAACTACTGAAGCCCGTGCACCTAGAGGCTGTGCTCCACAACAAGAGAAGCCACTGCAACGAGAAGCCTGTGCACTGCGACGAAGAGTAGTCCCTGTTCGCTGCAACTAGAGAAAGCCCGCTCGCAGCAATGAAGACCAGAAGCAGCCAAAAATAAATAAGATACATTTATTTTTTAAAAAGTTTAAAAAATATGCATAGCATATTATATGCTAAATATACCTTTAAAAAGCTGTTTTTAAAAAGAAAAAAAAAGGCGTAGGGAGCCAGTCCACCTGAGATCCAACTCACCTCTGTCCCCGGCTGGCTGTGTGACCTCGGGCTAGCAACTGAACCTCTCTGTGCCTCATTTTCCTGAGCACCAACTCTGCAGGGATGCTGGAGGGTTGTGTAAGTTCACTGTGCCAGCACAGTGCTAGGAATGCACAACAGGCCAGGCAATGTTAGTTGCCATGCAGCAAAGAGCACAGGAACTCTGCTCTGCTTACTATGTACATGCCCAAATCCTTCGCCACACAAGAAGCAGCCCTAAGTCACGCGTTTCTCCGAAGCCCAGAATCAGCCTGGGAACTCTGAGTGAACAGCAGGGGTGAGAGTCTGGGCAGGATGGCAAGCCTCCAGGTGGACCCTCCAAGTGGTGTCTCCAGCAGCCAAGGCAGAGCTGGCCAGCAAGGCCTGAGGACTGGGTGACATGGAAACGACTGAGAGGCAGCCAGGGTAGGGAGGCAGCTGCTAGGGAGACGCCCGAGCTCTTTTCAGGAACTGAAAGAGCATCTTCTAGGGTAAGGTAAACATGACCCCATTCAGGGGCACAGAATAGGGGCCATTAATAGCAAAAAAGAGAAAAGAAGAGAAAGAAGGTGGAGAAGGAAAGCAAAGCTCTGGTGGTGACGCAATTTGGCCTGGTGAAGTGGTGGCACCTGCCAGCAGGGGCACGAGAACGTGGGGGTGTTCCTGCAGACTCACCTGCACGCCTGCGTCTCCGAATCCAGCTCCCCTCAATTCTTGGTGAGTGTGGGGTCCATGGCTCTTCCCCCTGCTCCAGCTTGGAGATGACATCAGGTTTGGAACCTTGAAGTCCTGCTCCAGAGAAAGAAAGCAAGATTGACAACTCATCCAGGTCCAGGGCAGGATGGCCCCGTGGGCAGCCTCTGTGTGCTGTCATGACCTTGCCTGCCACCTGGTCTCCAAAGCATGGACACAGAAGTAGGCCTCTGTCCCAGCGGAAGAAAAGTCAAACCCAGCTCTTCTGGGGGTCACAGTTAAGGGACAGACTTGGGGCCTGAACACATCATGGCAGAAGACTCATGGTAGAGGAGGTGTTGATGTACAGCAGACTAAGTATAAGGCAGGTATAAAGCAGGGCTCTGAAGCTAAATGGATGCAAATCCCAGATCTGCCCTGACAGCCTGTGTGAACTTAATGAAGTGATATTTGTCAGCCTCAGGTTCACCTATAAACTATGTATCCTACCACCAACCTCGAAGATGCATGAAGATTAACTGAGGGGATATGAATATACTTGGCGTTCAATGAATAATGTTCTCCTCCCATACTTCCTACAAAGAACTTGGGGGAGTCCCTGGCACCACCTGTCCCCTCCTCTGCCCAGACCAGGCCTGCCTGGGCCCAGGGTCACAAATGCCCCATGTCTGGGCCCAGGGGGTGAGAAGTCTCTGAGCCTTGAGCCCAGCCCCAGTTCCCAGAGCCATTCATGGAGCAGGAAGCCCAGAGCTGAGCTCCTGGGAAGAGCCTCACCCAGCGAGACCAGGTTCCCATAGGTTTCCAGCATCACATCCCTGTAGAGCCTCTTCTGAGCAGGGCCCAGATGGCCCCACTCCTCTTGGGAAAGGAGCACGGCCACTTCCTCGAAGGAAACTAAGACCTGGAATGACAAGATCTTGTTGCAACCCCAGGATGGGCCTGGGGGTAGGGAGGCACTAGGCTCAGGATGGGCAAAACCCCTCTGAGCACATGCACCAGACTGCCTTCCCCACAAGAGCGGGCTCTTTGGGGCAGACACCATTCTGCCTCGTGTTTACCTGCCCATTCCTTGCCCTCCTCTGTGTCCAGTCCAGGGGTGAGATGATACAGTCCAGAGTGCATTTCAGGGACTTGAACCCAAGGGTTGAGGACATCAATGAAGACAGGGAGCCAACTACCCTGAGACCAGTGCCTCAGAGGGAACCGTGGAGACTCCAGCCAGGAAAGGGCTGAGGCCACACTGAGGCGTCTCCACGAAGACCACTCACCTGGGGCCCAGGAAAAAGCTGCCTGTGGGCCATCACTGGGTCTCCAAGCTTGTCCCGAGGAGGCAGGCAGAGCTGTAGCAAAAGGGAAGAGTGTGATGGAGCCTGACCCGCCTTCTGCTCCCCACAGCAACTTGAGACTTCCGCGCCTGTACCTCAAGAGGTCTGTGGCAGCAGAGACCCAGTTGTAGGCTACTTGAAATCCCCAGGAAGGAACAATGGTCTCAGCACCCAGTGGCCTGAGACTATATATTCCCTTGCCCCCCCAGGAAGCCTCCCCAGCAGCCCGTAGTACGACAGCATAACAAGGCCACACGGGAAAGCCAGGTCCCCGGCGGTGCACCTGACAAGGGGAGACGACGGTCTGCATCTCAGGCCCACCCAGGAGAATCCTGGGCAGCGGGCAAACAGCTGAGGACAAGAAGAACAAGCTCCTACTCTACAGCAGTGCACAAGCCGTAGGGAAGTTGACAGACATGATGCTTGTGTCAGGGGATAAGGAAGAGAAACAACACGCAGCATGAGGGCAGCAACTGTTGGGAGGAGATATTTTACGAAAGGCAGCCAGGGAAGGCACCTCTGATAAAGTAACATCAAAACAGATATGGATGGAGTGAGGGCGGGCACTAAGTAGGTATCAGGGGAGATACATCCTGGGCAGGGGGAGGCGCAAGTGCAAAGGTTGCAAGGTGCAAGCATACTTGACGTGTTCAAGGAAGGGCAAGGAGACCAGAGGGGCTGAAGCAGAGTAGGGGAGGGCAAGACAGAGTGGGGTGGGGTAACTTTTGGGCTACAGGACTTAGGCTTTTATTCTGAATGAGATTAGGAGCATCTGGAAGGTCTGGGCAGAGTGATATGACTTGACATGTGGCTGCTCCGGCTGCTGCTTTGAAAATGGACTAGGGGGCAGGGAGGAGGGTGTAAGGGTAGAAGCAGGAAAACCAACCGGAAGGTCCCAGCAATAACACAGCTAGAGACGATAGTGTCTTGGACCAGATGGTGGTAGCAGGTGATAAGCAGTCAGATTGCAGATACCTTTCAAAGGTACAGTCAACAGGATTTGCTGACAAATTAGATGTGGGATGAAACACCAAGATGTTTGGCCCAAACACCTGAGATGAGGAAATCTCCAATTACCCAGGAAGACCGTAGAAGTATATCTGAAGGATAAAAATTAAAAGTTGTCTTGTACATGTTATGTTCAAGATGCCTATCAGACCTACAAGTGGAGAATGAGGGCATTTCGATCCACAAGTCCAAATTTCAGGAGAGAGGCTGAAGCTGGCTGGGTATACACTGGTAACTGTCAGCATACATATGACATTTAGAACCACAGATCTGGTGATAATTTAGGGTGACAGGTGACACGGGGTGTCACTCCCATGAAAACCTTTCCAACTGGCCTCTGACACACAGTCAGCCTCTGCCCCCACAGCCTGCTCCATGCAAACAGACCCCTTAATTCAGGTAGAAATGTGCCCACTTTCCTTGGCCCCAGCTACTTTGGCCCTAGGCCCATCTTCTGGTCAACAAGATGTTAAGGGAAGTTTTCAAAAAGGCTTCTAGAAAAGGCTTTTCCTCCCTGATGATAAAAAAGAAACAAGGAGAAACACTTCTGTCTAGTGTGACCATGAGGGTAAAACCCAGGGAACCTCAGAGACACAACCCAGAACAAACCCTGCCTGCCCCACCTTCGTCACTTAAGCCTCTGTTGGGCTCTAACTGACAGCTGAACCCAAGCTTATTAATGCCCAATTCATTTCTCTTGGGCCATCCCAGAATCTCCTCCTCAGGCCACCCAGGCCAGAGGCAGCCTCTCGGTCCTCAGCCAGGGCTTGCCTTTGACAGGTCCCTGGTGCTCACGCCCTTTGTGTGCTGTGCACAAGTGCACAAGTGCACAAATGCACTCTGCCTCCCCTTTCAGCCTCATGTGGGAGGCACGTAACACTCCTGTTAGAAGCATAGGTCCTGGGCTCCACCAGACTGAGTTCCAATCTCAGATACACCACCTCCTAACGAAGGGTCTCGAGTAAATGACGTGTTTCTCCACAGACCATAAAATGAGAACATCACCACTTACCTTAAGTGACTATTTTGAGTTAAGTGAGAAAAATGTATAAAGTGCTTCGCATAGTGTTCGCAAACCACAAACAAAACCCAGTAAATCTTAATCATCACCAAGGCAGTGTGTACTGGGCGCCCACCGAGCGAATGAATGGGCCCTGGGATTGTTCAGCGCCGGGATGTGCACCAACGTCCCCTCGCTGCACAGCCTTCGCGACTTCATCCTTTCACTGAACCTACCCCTAATGAGTGAAAGGTACTCTCTCTCATCTGAGAAAAAGCACAGGTTCGGTGCATCCCCAGACCGTGCCTAAACTTCGCCTCCTCCGTGAAGCCTGGCTCTTGCCCGCCGCCCCGCCTCCGCGCCGGGGCAGCCCGGACCCCACCCCCGCGCGGGTTTCCGCCCGGCCCGCCCCTCAGGCCACACGAGCAGGCGCTCCCCCGGCTCGGCCAGCCCCGCGCCGTCCCGCCTGTCGCAGCGGCGCAGGCACCTCCGCGCGAGGGGAGGCCAGGACTCCCTCGGCCCCGCCGAGAAAGGTAGACGTACCCCACACACCAGGCCGGCGAGGGTTAACCCGCCAGACCGGAAACGCCCGCTAGGAACTTCCGCCCCGCCGCCAGCTTACCGGCCAATCAGATCCTAGGGTTCTGTCGGGCCGCTCTAGGCGGCTCAGAGGACTCTATGCCACTGGCCCCACTTGTCTTGGGAGAGGCTTTAGAAGTTCGTCAGAGAGTTAGGAAGTGACGCAAGAAACTCGGATCTACCCAGAGAAGGGAAAAGGATCAGAGAGGGAATAAGTGAAGGTAAAATAAAATCTTTTACTTGTCTTACTCCTAAGCAAAATAAAAGGTCATTGTTTTTCAGAGTAATATTGAATATTAGTGACAGTGTATTGGGTAACTGTCGCACGTGTAAGGTGAGTGGCAGCGGTGTCCTAGGGACGGAAGAGAGGAATCGGGACACTGGGTTACAAGTACCTGTGCTACCCGTGAGGCGGTGTAGTGTTATTTGAAGGTGGACTTACATTAGTCCTAATATATATTGCAAACTTCTAAGACAACCATTAAAATTTTTTTGAAGTATAATTGATATGCTAAATAGGAGGAAAAAAATCTAATCAGATAAAATGCTCAATTAAACCGGAGAAGGCAGGAGAAGAGGGAAAGATTTTTTAAAAGAAACAAGTGTAATGAATAAAAAACAGTAACAACCATATTAATACTCACTTTAAAAGTGAATGGTCTAGGCCTTCCCTGGTGGAGACCGCCTGCCAATGCAGGGGACGTGGGTTCACGCCCTGGTCTGGGACGATCCCACATGCCGCGGAGCGACTGGGCTGGTGAGCCACGATTACTGAGCCTGTGCGTCTGGAGCCTGTGCTCCGCAAAAAGAGAGCCCGCGGTAGTGAGAGGCCCGCGCACCGCGAAGAAGAGTGGTCCCCGTTTGCCACAACTAAAGAAAGCCCTCGCACAGAAACGAAGACCCAACACAGCCATAAATAAATAAATTTAAAAAGTGAATGGTCTAGATACACCAATTAAAAGACTGAACTGTCAAAGCAGGTAAAAAAAGTAAGACATAACATTTAATTATATATTGTCCATAAGAAGCCCATTTTAAACACGAAGACACAGATAGATTAAAAATAAAGGGAGGAGAAAGGCATACCATGCTAACACTAATGGAAAGAAAGTTGGAGTATCTATATCGATTTCAGACAAAGCTGACTTAAGAGCTAGTAAAATTATCAGGGACAAAAAGGGGTATTAAATATGATAAAGGGATCAAGTCTATAAGAAAACACAAGGATCCTTACCGTGTATGCACCTAACAACAGAACATCAAAATACATGAGACAAAAACTGATAGCACAGCACATTTTTCCAACAGCATTTGTTCACTTCATGTCTTGGTATCATATTTTTGTAATTCTCGCAATATTTCACACCTATCATTATTATATTTGTTATGGTGATCTGCAATCAGTGATATTTGATGTTTTGACTATGACTTGCTGAAGACTCATATGATGGTTGGCAATTTTTTTTTTTTTTTTTTCTGTACGCGGGCCTCTCACTGTTGTGGCCTCTCCCGTTGCAGAGCTCCAGACTTGCAGGCTCAGCGGCCATGGCTCACGGGCCCAGCCGCTCCGTGGCATGTGGGATCCTCCCGGACCGGGGCATGAACCCATGTCCCCTGCATCGGCAGGCGGACTCTCAACCACTGCGCCACCAGGGAAGCCCAATGGTTGGCATTTTTTAGCAATATTTTTTATTAACGTATGTACATTGTTTTTTAGACATAATGCTATTGCACACTTAACAGACTATATTGCAGTGTAAACATACTTTTATATTCACTGGAAAACCAAAAAAAATTCGTGTGACTTTTATTGCAACATCCATTTTATTGCAGTAGTCTGGAACCGAACGTGCCGTATCTCTGAGGTGTGCCTGTATATTAACTGCCACACTTTTTGTATTTTTATGCTTTTTCTTGGGGATTTCACTGTTTAAAATGGCCCTCAAGCATAGTGCTGAAGTGCTGTCTAATGTCCCTAAGTGCAAGAGGGCTGTGATGTGATGCCTTTATAGAGGAAGCGTGCTAGATGAACTTCATTCAGCACAAGTCATAGTGCTGTTGGCTGAGTTCAGTGTTTATGAATCAACAGTGTATATTAAGTAAGGTGTCTTTAAGCAGAAACACACATAAAACAAGGTTATGTGTTGATTGGTTGATGAAAATGTCGTGACCAGAGGCTCCAAGGAAGCTAACTCTATTTCCCCTAGGAGCAACGGTTTGTTATTCCCTAATTCAGTGTTCTCAGCTACGTTAGAGAACTACCATGGATGATGAGAATTGGCTGTATGTAAATATTTATATTTGCACATATGAAATTTATAGTATATTTTCTAAACAGGCCAGGGGAGTAGGCCAAGGAAAGAGTGTGTCAGTGGAGACTACTGTGTCTCAAGAGACAGAAAGCAGCCATGATGGTTGAGATTGAAACGTTAGGCATGATTCCTGCAGTGGCTGTGGAGGTGCAGACAGCCAGGCACAGCTAGATGAAGACTTGCTGTTCATTTTATGAGCCTTTATTACATGCCAGGGTGGGAGGCAATGTAGAGGAGATTTGGGGACTTAGAGACATGGAGGACTAGATCGTCTATGCTTTCCTCTCTAGAGCTCTTCAAGGACCTACTGTCTGAGTCTGGGGGTTTGCTGACCACTCGGCGCCCCGTTGGGGCAGCTGTTATTCACAGCGCCGCTCTGGGTGACAGCTTTTCATGTCTGTTTACCTGCTTTTCCCTCCCCACTAGCAGGTGAGCTTTAAGGGCACACCTTAGGCGTAGTCCTTTCATCCAGAGCAGTACCTGCAACATTGTCAGTGTTGGGGAGGGTCTCCTGCAGACCGCGCTCCGAACGGCCGGGGCCCCGCCCACCGCGCCCCGCCCACCGCGCTCCGAAAGGCCCGGGCCCGCCCAACGCGCTGCCAGCGCCCTGCGGAACTCTGCTACGCAGACGTGTTTCGCGGGGAGCGAATTCGGCGTCGGTCCTGAAGCCCTCCTCAGGGTCTGGCTGCGGCTGCAGCGCATGGCGGTGAGTGCTACGGTGAGGGCGCACCGGTGTCGGGGCCTTGGGCCCTTGGTGGCTCCTCGTGACCTTTGTACTGTCCCGCTTTCTCCAGGCTCCAGGACATCCTGCTCGGGAGACATCGGCAGCCCCAGGTACTGCCCGCGCACCCCGCAGCCCCTGGTTCCCCCCGCCGCTTCCCGGCGCCCCGAGTCCTTCCACTGTAAGGCCCTATCAAGTCTGTCTGCTTAGGGCACCCTACGTGCAGTGACGCTGCCTCCAGGGCCAAGAAACAAAAGAAGAAGAAGAAAACCCGGAATGGGGCCTCTGCGGCGAATGGAGGCGGGAAAGCCACAGAATCGCCGGCCTCAGAGGAAGCCCCCCTAAGTGCGGAGGCCCAGGCAAGGGCGGGCCTTAGTCGGGAAGGGTGGAGCCTCGGGGTGCATTCTGGGTGGGAATCCGCCGGTGGGTGTAGTCTCGGATTTGCGGACTTAAAGCGGGGAGAGGATGAGACGGGGGGTTTTGTGTTCCTGTGGGATGGGGCTGGAGGCCGCGGGGTCCAGGTACCCTCTCACAGCCACTATCCCCGATCCACCACAGGCGGAGCAGCTGGCCCGGGAACTGGCCTGGTGCGTGGAAAAGCTGGAGCTGGGGCTGAAGATGCAGAGACCCACCCCTAAGCAGAGTGAGGGGCCTGTCTGTAGAGTTGCGGGGGGCGGGGGCGGGTGAACCGTGACAGTCCTGTGGCCTGCAGGTGCTCCCAAGGGATGGAATCGTTACCTTTGCGGTAGGACAGTTGGAGGTGAGGATAGAGAAGGTTACTAGTCTGTTTTCATTTGCAGAAGAGCAAGCTCTTGGGGCAATCCGAACCCTGCGCAGCCAAAGAACCCCCCTGCCCCGGAAGAGGCAGCTGATGCACTCCTTGTTCGGGGACTACAGGGCTCAGATGGAAGCCGAGTGGTGCGTGGCCCTGCGGGCTCTCAGGACTGGTGAGGACCTGGGAACTGGTTGGTGCACACCTGCCTAGTTCAAGGGGGCGGGGAGGAAGAGCCTGGGCAGTGGAAGGAGGAAGCCCAGAGCAGTAGGGCTGGCGGGGGTAGAAGATGGCTCAGGAAAGCGTCAGGGAGCAGGGAGAGAGAAAGCCTGGATCTCAGGAACACAGAACTTGGGCTTGGACCAGGGAGGCAGGGGCAGGAGAGTTAGTGAATCTCTCTGTGATTCTCAAGGGGGTGTGATGATAGTGTGATACCTTATAATTTTGAGAAGTAAGTCAGTTAATTTTTACAATGGGGATAGAGTTGTATGGGCACAGTTAGCATTAGCCATTATCATTCAATTCTGATACAGTCTCTCCCCTCCCTTACAGCTGCCCACTCAGTCCAGGTGCAGCCTGTAGGTGAGGCCGCCAGAAAGAAGAGCCAAAGGGTCTGCAGGCCTCGTCTAACAGGGAGAGCCAAGGACACCCGAGACACTCCTGATGAAGAGTTTAGGTTCAATTTCTTTTAGCCTCTTCCCCATTCTGGAACGATTCTCCTCTGCAGTTGGTGCAGGGGTTTGTCTTGAGTGCAGAGCTTTCCAGGAATGCTCTGTCAGACAGATGTGGGGTTGCTCTGTCCCTGGCTGGTCAGTGAATCTGGTGCCATGGCTGTTGGGAAGATGCAAGACCTGCATGTTGGGTACTGTCAGACAAGCCCAGGACCCCGTTTATAGGTTTTCAGCTGAAATGTCTCTCCTGCCAGAAGAGGGCGGTCCATTCAGAAGTTTCTACAGTAAACTGAAGTGAGTGTTTAGTATGTTGTAGAAGGACTCTTTTAACAGGCTTAGGAGCAGACTAAGTAGATGTTGGTAATAAGGATTAGTAGGGAAGCAACATAGTTATGCACTGGTGCTCACTTATGGGAGGATGTTCTGTCAGGTGGTGTAGAGCTCCATGCCATTGTGTCTCATTGCCATAATAAAAGTATTCCTCACAAAAGTGGAAGAGTGAAAGCGTGTGTTAACTGTCTATATAGATGAGATGGTGTGTGGCACTGCTGGGTCCAGGCTCTCACCCCAGTGCTTGGTCTTTTGTCGTATTGCCTTCATTCCTGAGCAGGTAGCATCCTTGGGGAGCCATCGTAGCCCCCAGCAGCCCAGGCTTTGTTCTGAGGAGCAGATAGCTTCCTGCCCTAAGAATCCCAGCCAGACACCAGCATTGAGCCTCAGTGGACAAGCTCTGATGTCAGCTGCTCCAGGTGATAGTCCCAGGCCTTCTGCATTAAGTTGGGTTTTCAGGGGGGCTTAATCCTCTTCAGTGGTTGTGGTACCATCTTTGGTGGTGTCTCCCAAACTTGCAGACTAGACTAGATAGATACCTGGAGCCCACCTGCCTACTCAACATCTCTTATTTTGCTGTTTCACAGGCATTTCAAACTTGACATGTCCAAAACATCCGATTAGTCCCTAAATCTCCATTTGTTTTCTGCTTTTCAGTGAATGGCACTACTGCCCAACTAGTTGATCAGGCCAAAAATCTGTGTCACCTCTGCAAAAGGGGTTTGTGGATCCAGTTCCAATGTGTGTGTGTGTTTGTGTTGAGGGTTCCCGACACCAACAGCAATTCTTGGATGTCAGCAGCGTGTCGAAGAATGCAACTCAATTCTGACACTGTCTACCCAGAGATGGAATCAGATTCCACAGGAAAAGCGCTCAGTCCCACAAGACCCCCCTCCACTTCACATGCCAGTCACGAGTCCTATAGTTGTTCCCTATACTTCTGACCAACTGGCTATAAATCAGGTTCCTGTGACCCCCTTCTTTTTTTTTTTTTACATCTTTATTGGAGTATAATTGCTTTACAATGGTGTGTTAGTTTCTGCTTTATAACAAAGTGAATCAGTTGTACATATATATATGTTCCCATATCTCTTCCCTCTTGCGTCTCCCTCCCTCCCACCCTCCCTATCCCACCCCTCTAGGTGGTCACAAAGCACCGAGCTGATCTCCCTGTGCTATGTGGCTGCTTCCCACTAGCTAGCTATTTTACGTTTGGTAGTTATATATGTCCATGCTACTCTCTCACTTTGTCACAGCTTACCCTTCCCCCTCCCCCTCAAGTCCATTCTCTAGTAGGTCTGTGTCTTTATTCCTGTCTTACTCCTAGGTTCTTCATGAGTTTTTTTTTTTTTCTTAAATTCCATATATATGTGTATGCACATGGTATTTGTCTTTCTCTTTCTGACTTAATTCACTCTGTATGACAGACTCTAGGTCCATCCACCTCATTACAAATAGCTCAATTTCGTTTCTTTTTATGGCTGAGTAATATTCCATTGTATATATGTGCCACATCTTCTTTATCCATTCATCCGATGATGGATACTTAGGTTGTTTCCATCTCCTGGCTATTGTAAATAGAGCTGCAATGAACATTTTGGTACATGACTCTTTTTGAATTATGGTTTTCTCAGGGTATATGCCCAGTAGTGGGATTGCTGGGTCATATGGTAGTTCAATTTGTATTTTTTTAAGGAACCTCCATACTGTTCTCCATAGTGGCTGTACCAATTCACATTCCCACCAGCAGTGCAAGAGTGTTCCGTTTTTTCCACACCTTCTCCAGCATTTATTGTTTCTAGATTTTTTGATGATGGCCATTCTGACTGGTGTGAGATGATATCTCATTGTAGTTTTGATTTGCATTTCTCTAATGATTAATGATGTTGAGCATTCTTTCATGTGTTTGTTGGCAGTCTGTATATCTTCTTTGGAGAAATGTCTATTTAGGTCTTCTGCCCATTTTTGGATTGGGTTGTTTGTTCTTTTGTTATTGAGCTGCATGAGCTGCTTGTAAATTTTGGAGATTAATCCTTTGTCAGTTGCTTCATTTGCAAATACTTTCTCCCATTCTGAGGGTTGTCTTTTGGTCTTGTTTATGGTTTCCTTTGCTGTGCAAAAGCTTTGAAGTTTCATTAGGTCCCATTTGTTTATTTTTGTTTTTATTTCCATTTCTCTAGGATGTGGGTCAAAAAGGATCTTGCTGTGATTTATGTCATAGAGTGTTCTGCCTTTGTTTTCCTCTAAGAGTTTGATAGTTTCTGGCCTTACATTTAGGTCTTTGATCCATTTTGAGCTTATTTTTGTGTATGGTGTTAGGGAGTGATCTAATCTCATACTTTTACATGTACCTGTCCAGTTTTCCCAGCACCACTTATTGAAGAGGCTGTCCTTTCTCCACTGTACATTCCTGCCTCCTTTATCAAAGATAAGGTGACCATATGTGCCTGGGTTTATCTCTGGGCTTTCTATCCTGTTCCGTTGATCTATCTTTCTGTTTTTGTGCCAGTACCATACTGTCCTGATTATTATAGCTTTGTAGTATAGTCTGAAGTCAGGGAGCCTGATTCCTCCAGCTACATTTTTTGTTCTCAAGATTGTTTTGGCTGTTCAGGGTCTTTTGTGTTTCCATACAAATTGTGAAATTTTTTGTTCTAGTTCTGTGAAAAATGCCAGTGGTAGTTTGATAGGGATTGCATTGAATCTGTAGATTGCTTTGGGTAGTAGAGTCATTTTCACAATGTTGATTCTTCCAATCCAAGAACATGGTATATATCTCCATCTATTTGTATCATCTTTAATTTCTTTCATCAGTGTCTTATAATTTTCTGCACAGAGGTCTTTTGTCTCTTTAGGTAGGTTTATTCCTAGCTATTTTATTCTTTTTGTTGCAGTGGTAAATGTGAGTGTTTTCTTGATTTCACTTTCAGATTTTTCATCATTAATGTATAGGAATGCCAGAGATTTCTGTGCATTAATTTTGTCTCCTGCTACTTTACCAAATTCATTGATTGGCTCTAGTAGTTTTCTGGTAGCATCTTTAGGATTCTCTATGTATAGTATCATTGCATCTGCAAACAGTGACAGCTTTACTTCTTCTTTTCTGATTTGGATTCCTTTTATTTCCTTTTCTTCTCTGATTGCTGTGGCTAAAACTTCCAAAACTATGTTGAATAAGAGTGGTGAGAGTGGGCAACCTTGCCTTGTTCCTGATCTTAGTGGAAATGCTTTCAGTTTTTCACCATTGAGGACGCTGTTGGCTGTGGGTTTGTCATATATGGCCTTTATTATGTTGAGGAAATTTCCCTCTATGCCTACTTTTTGGAGGGTTTTTATCATAAATGGGTGTTGAATTTTGTTGAAAGCTTTCTCTGCATCTATTGAGATGACCATATGGTTTTTTTCCTTCAATTTGTTAATATGGTTTATCACATTGATTGATTTGCATATATTGAAGAATCCTTGCATTCCTGGAATAAACCCCACTTGATCATGGTGTATGATCCTTTTAATGTGCTGTTGGATTCTGTTTGCTAGTATTTTGTTGAGGATTTTTGCATCTATGTTCATCAGTGATATTGGCCTGTAGTTTTCTTTGTGACATCCTTGTCTGGTTTTGGTATCAGGGTGATGGTGGCCTTGTAGAATGAGTTTGGGAGTGTTCCCCCCTCTGCTATATTTTGGAAGAGTTTGAGAAGGATAGGTGTTAGCTCTTCTCTAAATGTTTGATAGAATTCACCTGTGAAGCCATCTGGTCCTGGGCTTTTGTTTGTTGGAAGATTTTGAATCACAGTTTCAATTTCAGTGCTTGTGATTGGTCTGTTCATATTTTCTATTTCTTCCTGATTCAGTCTTGGCAGGTTGTGCATTTCTAAGAATTTGTCCATTTCTTCCAGGTTGTCCATTTTATTGGCATAGAGTTGCTTGTAGTAATCTCTCATGATCTTTTGTATTTCTGCAGTGTCAGTTGTTACTTCTCCTTTTTCATTTCTAATTCTATTGATTTGAGTCTTCTCCCTTTTTTTCTTGATGAGTCTGGCTAATGGTTTATCAATTTTGTTTATCTTCTCAAAGAACCAGCTTTTATTTTTATTGATCTTTGCTATCGTTTCCTTCATTTCTTTTTCATTTATTTCTGATCTGATTTTTATGATTTCTTTCCTTCTGCTAACTTTGGGGTTTTTTTGTTCTTCTTTCTCTAATTGCTTTAGGTGCAAGGTTAAGTTGTTTATTTGAGATGTTTCCTGTTTCTTAAGGTAGGATTTTATTGCTATAAACTTCCCTCTTAGAACTGCTTTTGCTGCATCCCATAGGTTTTGGGTCGTCATGTATCCATTGTCATTTGTTTCTAGGTATTTTTTGATTTCCTCTTTGATTTCTTCAGTGAGCACTTCGTTATTAAGTAGCGTATTGTTTAGCCTCCATGTGTTTGTACTTTTTACAGATCTTTTCCTGTAATTGATATCTAGTCTTATAGTGTTGTGGTCGGAAAAGATACTTGATACGATTTCAATTTTCTTATATTTACCAAGGCTTGATTTGTGACCCAAGATATGATCTATCCTGGAGAATGTTCCATGAGCACTTGAGAAAGACGTGTATTCTGTTGTTTTTGGATGGAATGTCCTATAAATATCAATTAAGTCCATGTTGTTTAATGTATCATTTAAAGCTTGTGTTTCCTTATTTATTTTCATTTTGGATGATCTGTCCATTGGTGAACATGGGGTGTTAAAGTCCCCTACTATGAATGTGTTATGGTCGATTTCCCCTTTTATGGCTGTTAGTATTTGCCTTATGTATTGAGGTGCTCCTATGTTGGGTGCATAACTATTTACAATTGTTATATCTCCTTCTTGGATCGATCCATTGATCATTATGTAGTGTCCTTCTTTGTCTCTTCTAATGGTCTTTATTTTAAAGTCTATTTTGTCTGATATGAGAATTGCTACTCCAGCTTTCTTTTGGTTTCCATTTACATAGAATATCTTTTTCCATCCCCTCACTTTCAGTCTATATGTGTCCCTAGGTCTGAAGCGGGTCTCTTGTAGACAGCATATATATGGGTCTTGTTTTTGTATCCATTCAGTCAGTCTATGTCTTTTGGTGGGAGCATTTAATCCATTTACATTTAAGGTAATTATCGATATGTATGTTCCTATT